CAGTTTGTTGGCCTCCTGCGGCACCTATGATCGCTCAGGTTCCGTCCCTATTGGCCTTGGTGTCTTCGCGTTAGAGCAGCAGTCGAATATGTGCCCATGATTCTTTACGCGCAATTGCCGAGCGTAATTTTACATGCCGCCGACGTCATATGTGTCATTTCCATTAGCTATTGAGTGTTTGACACTTATTATACTAGTGCACCACGTTCTTAGCGTATTTTGAATGTTAAGGTATGTTGTACTCCTTCATAACAAACGAAAAATTCAGCACTTAGTGATCAGCCAACAGCTGATTACATCGCCCAGCCAGCCAGCCGTAAATACGTAAGCTAGGAATCAACTCCGTGCTTGGTTTTGATTGTTGTTAGCAGCTAACTCAAGTTTATTTTGCCTGTTGTTCCGAAACACTTAGCCTCAAAATCACAGTATTTAAAATGATATGTAGAAAATGAGTGAGTTATACGTGTATGCATGCGTAGCACGCCTATCCGTTATAGGGCTGTGCACAGCAAGATGGTTTCTGTATTTATTAAAAAGATGAATAGGTAAATACATATATTGCATACATGTCTATCTACATATCTATGTGTAGCCATATATACCTACATGTACATACAAATCTATATCAATACATGTTCTAACATATAATAAGTGTCCAACACTCAATATATGTATGTATATATATATATATATATATATATATATATATATATATATATATATATATATATATACATACATATATTGAGTGTTGGACACTTATTATACTAGTGCACCACGTTCTTAGCGTATTTTGAATGTTAAGGTATGTTGTACTCCTATATATATATATATATATATATATATATATATATATATATATATATATATATATATATATATATATATATATATATATATATATATATATATATATATATGTGTGTGTGTGTGTGTGTGTGTGTGTGTGTGTGTGTGTGTGTGTGTGTGTGTGTGTGTGTGTGTGTGTGTGTGTGTGTGTGTGTGTGTGTGTGTGTGTGTGTGTGTGTGTGTGTGTGTGTGTGTGTGTGTGTGTGTGTGTGTTGCATACGACTGGTCTCAAAATGTTGTTGTTTTTCGTCCAAAACGCAAAGATATTTTGGAGCGGGCCCTAAGCTCCAGGGGCCCCACAATGTTGTATATTCCCCCCCCCCCCCCTGACGAAATCCTGGATCGGCCCCTGTCAGTTCCGACTGAAAACCCCTTCTAGTTCTAACATATTAAACTGTTTCAGTTCTGACGGGGGAAACTGTTTTGGTTCTGACCGGCCGCCCGGTAATCGTTCAAGTCAATGGGCCCGCTTTGACGAGCCATACACGAACACGCATTTGGAAGGCGAATCCAGCACCGAACGTTTCGCTACGTCAGCATAACTGCAGCGCTCTTCCGGAGTGGGGCTTCGGCAACAAATGCTTCTGATGAATGGATGAATGAATGAATGAATGAATGAAATGAAACAACGACAAATGCTTCTCGAGAGATCCGGTGCTTTGTCATGTCGTCAGTCAACGCCAGACGACTTTGACGATAATTGGAGCTGAAATGTTTGTAAGCCGATGAGCTTTTTTCTTTCGAGGAATCTATCCTCCCACACTTCGTGAAACGCTATTCTCGGAAAATGTGAAAAGTAGCAAATGCGTCGTACCTGTCTGTGATGAGACCCGACCCAGCCAAGTATAAAAATATATCATTCTTAGACCCAGCGTTTTGTGCTACGTCGAGCTATGTGGTAGGTGTTGTGAATGCTACTTAAGTGGTGTCAGCTTGCTGTTGACCTGACTTGGGTCATGACCCTGGTGAGTTCATCGTGAACACGATGACAGGGGGTGCTCAAATGATTATATGAATGTTTGATTCACCCATTCATCGCCGACATGTGGGGCAGGCGGCGCCGGAACGACCAAACTAGGTCATCACTCACCGGTGTGTGTCAGGTCCATGAATACATGGCCAAACTTGGGTAAAATCGATGGATATGGATATCTACACAGGTTGCCATGGTAATCTCGGTTGCATTTTTTCACATAGTAGTCAAAATGCCGTCATCGTGCACTTTTTGGTAGTTCCCCAGCGATCCCATTTGCTATGGGTGACCTTCTCGGTCTCACATTTAGTGTTCAGGAAGTGGACAAAGAATTTATGCAACCCTCTACGCAGGTTGAATAGGGATGCTGAAATGCTGACATGGGCGCCGCGTCGCCGATCAGGTGATATTATAAAGCTTTGAGTAGCGTTGACAGGCGAGACAAGGCCGCTTTGTTGGCTTCTGGAGGTCGAAGTAGGCTATGCCCGCAAAGAGTATACACCGGCTCACTCAACGCACTTTGTTTTCGATTGCACAAATGGCTCAAAAAGGTTCGGTGTCCAATTTCTGTTTGGCTGCAGCTGTACCATCTTTCTCACTGTTTCAGACATAGGCGTCCTAAATCGCTGTAGCTGAAGCGTCCATAGTCGCTCAGAAGCCAGGTGCCAGGGAAATTAAATCGGCTTTACACTCCAATCAGTGCCAACAACATGAACTTTGCATAAACCAGAAGCAAACTTAGCATTTCAAATCTTTATTCACATGGTTAGCTCATAAAACATAAAACGCACCAATCTAGCAATGAACCGCACAGACTCGTTCCGCGAGAGCCGTCACCGCCCAGCAGGCTGGCGGAACAGGTGGGCGCCGGCGCCTAATGGTGGTCGCAGGTCATCTGCATGCCGTCCTTGCAGCAGAGTGGCTCATGGAAGCCCTCCCCGCTCTCGCGCAGGTCGTGACCGCACACGTCGTGGTGGAGCGATGTGTGGATGCCCATGTCCTCGTCACGGCCCAGACTAGCGCAGGCGACCTCTCCCACCGTCTGGTTGCCGTCGCCGCCGAAGCGGTGCGGCACCACCATCTCCCAGCCACCGGCCGCCTCCAGCACGTCGCGTTGCGTGTGGCACTCTTCCATGCAGAGCTTGTCGGCCTCCTCGTCGCAGTCCTTGTCCCAGGTATTGTGGAAGCGGAAGAGGACCGAGTTGTCATCGTGCGTGCCGATGGCGCACTCGCACTTGAAGTTGGGCGGCGTCGGCCTGGCGCTGCGGTCCTGGCCAGCAATGAGCGCCAGAAGCGCGGCGAAGGCGAGAGCGATCTTCATGGCGGCGGATGCTGAGTCTGGTGCACGCACGGCGCCGCCCACCGCTTATGTACGCACGGCGTTTGTGTTGCCGACGGGCGGGCCTAGACTGACACTGACGCACTGTTTTTGTCGGTAATGGAGCGCGAGCTTGTGATAGGCCGCTTTTGCGGATGCATCTATAGCCTGTAGGCTTTAAAACTTTGAGGCTTTCGTGGCAAGAGAAGAGGAGAATATCCAGCAAGTTCCAAAAGCTATGGGGTATACCAAGAACACTCGCAGCAGCAGATAAGTAGCATGTATCTGAGCTAAGCCACGCCCATCCTCAACACATCCCGCACTTACGTCGTAATAGTGAATATTCAGCAGCGAGCGTCGTAATAGTGAATATTCAGAGCAAATCAGCAGCGACACTCACGCGAGGCCCAAGCAAAAAGTCCCCTGCACACCGCACGCGCTGTCCTCATACATAAGATGTCCATTGCGGTCAAATTATTGCATTTTTCATTGTCCTTCCCAAAACCGGGGCAACCCAATTTTCATACGACAAGCCCCGTTTCATATCCTGAGGAGACACCGATAGACTAGGTCTTGAGGGAAAGCTCGTGGTCGAAGCTCTAGCCTCTGAATTTCGAAACGCTGGAAAAACTTCATCAGCGTGCTCAGGAGGGGGAAAACCTCGGTACTTACATATGAGCCCTCTGATTTATGAGGGCGGCTTTCAAATGTCCCGCGTCGCTTTGCGTCTCAATATGGTAACCCACTGTGGGACACCCAAAGAAGGATGCTCCACATTTGTTACTCGGTGGTGGATGCAGACTCTTACAAACGGGTAAATGTAAACACTGAACGCGGAATGCCTGCTTGTAAATATGATGCAAGGACTAGTTACAACTGCTTGTTTGCAAATATCGATCAGAGCATTGCGGTACAAACGGTATGTTTTGTCTCTCCGACACAAACTGTGATTGAGATCTCCAATCCACCTCTGGTCATGCCTGTTTTCGCACGCGATTCGGCTATCACCACATGGTCCACTTTGGTCACTTTTGCGAGACTGCGGTATATGAAACTAAACGCTCTCGAAGATCGGATGGCCGAACATATTATCAACAAGAAAGGCCATGTGACCACGCCAAGATGTGGCCATACCATCGACCCAAGTCCCATTAGGCTAGCTCGTGATCTTCAGTTCTGACGGGGGAAGACGTGTAGTTGTGACAGAGTAAACTGTCACAGTCCTGACGGGAAAACTCTCAGCTCTGACTGAGTACTCCTTCAGTTCCGCCGGGGGAAACTGCTTCAGTTCCAACAGTGCAAACTGTTTCAGCTCTGACGGAGTAAAACAAACTTTCAGTTCTGACGGGGGAAAGAAACTCTTACAGTTCTGACGGGCTAAATTCTCAGTTCTGACGGGGTAAAACACCTCAATGTTCCTGCACCGTCGAACGCCGCACCCCACACCGCCACATGCTGCAGCTCCACTCTGTGCTCACGGCAATGGCGGCCCGCTACGTCTGCGTTGCAACGAAATGCACGGCAGCATGACCCGCACGTCGCCGAGTGAATCAGCTGGCTTGAACTCAAATCCGATTCAGTGCGGCCGAATTGAACAGAAAAAACGAATATCGGGCTAATACACGCATACAATTAACGATTTATTATTCCGACGGTAGTGGGCAGATCGCCGATAATCGTGTAACGGTGAAACGGGTGGAAGTCAGAGACGGAACCTACCAAAACGCGGTGTTCCAGAGGAAGACAGAGGTCTCATTTATTTGCACTCCGATTTAACACGCAGTCAAGGGCCGCGCAATATATTGCAATGAAATATCTCCGCTCCCTCCGTTCGCCGCTTTCAAGCCTCCAGTATACATCAGATCGGCGAAGTCGTGGACTTGGCACCGCCAGCTAACCACCGCCTTTTGCAGCCGTCTCACAGGTCCTAGGACAGGCGCAGGCGCAGCATAACGACCCTCCGGCACCCGGTGCGGCGCGATTAAGGAAACACAAGCGGAACAACGTTAGGCCACCAAACTCACTCTACAGCGACTTGACCCACGTGCCTGCCACTGCGGCCAGTCAGTCCACACCCTGCAGCCAGTGCGTCGCAGAGCGGTGTCGTCTCATGCGCGAACGGCGCGGGCCCGCGCTCACGAGTAGATCACCCTGTCCGACGTGAAGCGGTCGTTCAGCGTGCGCGAACTGGTAGCCGCCGCCGGACGGAAGTTTCCCACACCTGACGTTTGCGCCGTGGCCGGCAGATGGTGCTGGGCGCGGCCGCGCGCCTGGATGGCCGCGATCTCCTGCTGGATGCGCGGGTCCAGGCCGGTCCGATTGCGCGGCGGAGGCGGCGGCGGCGGCGGCGGGGGAGGCGATGGCGGGTCTTCGTCCAGCGTATCGTCCAGCTCCATCGGCAGCTCTGAGGAACGCAACGACGTCACGTAGTGATCACGCCGCGTGATGGCGTCCAACGCAGCTGCCCAGGCTGATGCCAACATTTGTTCCAAGCAATAACCCATATCGAGTGTGTCCTAACCTCCACACACGGGAGCCGGAACAACGCAGCTTGTCACGGGTCGCTCACATTACCACAAAACATGAGCACCACGGCGATGAGTACTGCTACTGCCCAAGCCCAAACACCATCTCACACAGCCCAGCGGACCCAATGCACCTGGCGCTTCCAGACCAGACCATACACTTTCAAGCTTCCACGCGGTCCATTTACACGACTGTGCGCCATGCTCGCGGGTGTGCGCGGGGTCACGTACGCTGTCGGCGCTGCCTGGCCAGGTCGTTCTTGAACTGTACGGTGAGGAGCGTGCCGCCGGAGGGCGCCGACACGTCCAGGCGGCTGCGGTTCAGCGGACGGCGCGGCCGGCCAGCCGCCGCCGCCGCCGTCGGCACCCGCTCGTGGATCACCTGGACGCGGCCCGCCGGCGCCAGCGGCCGACGCGCCGGCAGCCGGCCGACGGCGGCGGCGCCGCGGCCGCGACGGGCCGCCCGCGGCGCCGCCTCCTCCTGCGGCGACGGGTGAGACGGTCAGGCGCGAGTGACCGACCCGGCGAGTCAGCACACGGGGACGGACACAGGCACAAGCACAGGATGAACCGTTAAACCGTAGGCATAAAAAATAAAGAGAAACGAAGCGTGAGAGACCGGGATAGAGCATGAGCGTCACTCGACCAGTGCAACGAGCGTTGCACCATACAGACACATCGGCGGATGGGCCCGTGCTTCGTGAGCTACTACCATCAGACCAACACCATCTCCGCCACTCTACGACACGTTATCCAACACTTCAAACTGCTGCAGACGGATCCCGGATTTAGGAACACACACGAGACGTCTCTATCAAGACCGAAGCCAGACACCCGACACAGTGCTGCCGGTGTACGGAGCGCGGCGGCTCGGCTGGGTCCGGGGCGGAGCGGACGGGCCGGTAACGCCCGCGCCATCGTACCGCGATGCCCCGCCGCTTCATCAGGATCTGGTTGCGCGCGTCGACGCGGCTCAGCTGGCGGCTCGCGCTGGTCAGCTGCTGCAGAGCCAGACGCTTCTTCTTCAGCGCCAGTGTGGTGACGTGCTGCAGGAGACGCCGGGGTCACGACGATGGAGAGTCGGACTCTAGGGTGTCACGTCAGTGGGCATTCGGAATCCAGCGAGTCACGCCGGTGGAGAGTCGGACGGTAGGGAGTCATGCCAGTGGGCATTCGGAATCCAGCGAGTCACGCCGGTGGAGAGTCGGACTCTAGGGTGTCACGCCAGTGGGTATTCAGAATCCAGGGAGCTACGGCGGTGGGGAGTCGCAGCACGCGACGTGTGCGGTAACGGGGGAGGGGGGGGGGGGGGGGCAGTCAGACGGTGGCCAGTACGCCAATTCGACCATCAACTATCCAATTCGTCAAACACGTCAACAACTTGTAAGGATACCTAAGAGTGCAACCACTACAGTTGCTACCGAATGCTACAGAATGCTACCCGACGCCCGCAATACTCCAGAAAAAACTGATGGAATGTTTTGCTTTGTAATTAACCGAGAATGAGACCGGAGGTAAGAGAGCCGCGCAGGGCCAGAAAAGCCTGCACCATTTCCAGTGTTAACGTGTCCTCTCGTGTATTAGCTGATGAGCTCACCTTGAGACCGTTGGCCTGGACACCCAGTCGGCCGGCCAGCCGCGTGCCGCGTACGGCCTTCACGGCCAACTGGAAACAACCGAACATCAGCATGCCAAGCCAACCAGTACCAGCTCAATCATGGACGTTGGAAAACATATCACTGCCATTCATGCTACAGAGTTGTAGTAATGGGGACTTCAGGGCGCTTCCACTGCGCGGTCATCAGGCGACCAACTAAGGCTACAGAAGAAGCCAATAACTTCTTTGCTAAAACGTCCTCACATTCCCTTATTGACCCACTTTCAAGACAACTTCATTTTCAATTGTTACCATTTTTTAATCGAGATAATTAATCGCTCTCTTACAATGGTACATTCGACATTCCTGGATGCTTGGTAACCAGCATGACCGGATCATTCAGTGCCCCTCATTTACCCTGAGCTCAGCCCCAGCCCTGGCACGTGCCTGTGTTCTGTACCCATCCGCACGCCAGACCCGTTCCACACAGGTCCACCGGCAGCTGCCCTCACCTGTCGACGCTTCAGGGGCGACGCCGGCGCGGCCCGGGTCGCGCCCACCACGTGGCTGCCCATCCGCGCGCTGGCGGCCCGCCAGCGCTGCCCGAAGGCGCCGCGCTGCCCGCGGCTGCCCCTCACGCCGCCGCGGCCGCGGCCGCGGATGGTGCCGCGGGAGGCGCCCCGGCCGCGGGCCGAGCCACGCGAGCTGGAGCGGCCGCGCGAGGCGCCTCGCGTCTGCCCGCGAGAGGCGCTCCGCGTCTGGCCGCGAGAGGCGCCCCGCGTCCGCCCGCGCGAGGCGCCCCGCGTCTGCCCGCGGGCGGTGCCCCGAGCGCCTGCGGGTCAAGAGTCGGTCGGTCACGGCACCGCCGCAGCAGCCACAGTGGCAGGGGAGAGCAGCAGCCGGAGCAGCAGGGGAGAGCAGCAGCCACAGCAGGAGCAGCAGCCACAGCAGCTGGGGAGAGCAGCAGCCACAGCAGCTGGGGAGAGCAGCAGCCACAGCAGCTGGGGAGAGCAGCGGCCACAGTGGGAGAAGCAGCCACAGTGGCAGGGGAGAGCAGCAGCCACAGCGGCTGGGGAGAGCAGCAGCCAGAGCAGCAGGGGAGAGCAGCAGCCACAGCAGCTGGGGAGAGCAGCAGACTCTCGGCGGGAGATCAGCTCAGCTGTCTCACTAGCTCAGCATGTGCTCAGAATGCTGCTGACGACGCACTGCAGTCAGATCTGGTCACAACGAGACATGCATCCAGCATGAGACACCAGACACATGCGAATCCAGCGAGGTCAGACTGCAAAGCTGTTCGTATTCAGTGCACTAACTTTCCACAGTTCATCCCCTACATCACGTCACAAGGGAGCTTATTTCGGAACACCATCGTTGAAATCCCATGGCATCAGAGCGACCAATAGTGTACCGTGTTAGTACACCTCGCTCCTATCACCACCAAATCCTGGTGCGGGTGCCAGCCCCAGGTCCGGCCCCACGCCCACCGGCCGACAGAGCGGCGGCCGACGCCAGCTCACAGCCCTCCCAGCTCCAGCGCAGTGGTCACCTCGTCTTGCCGCCGCGCCGCGGCCCGCCACGCCGCCCCGGCCGCGCCGGAACATGCTGCGGTTCGCCTTGATAAAGTCATCTGCAACCGGACAGCAGCGGCGAAATGTCACGCGAGAGGTGGAAAATTGGACATGCTCCTCTGACGCCATTTGTGCGTGACGGACATTTCTGGCGTCATTAATGAGCATGAAATGTAATGGGTCACCAACTACATGCCATGCCAAACATCAGCCCATACTTATTGAGACGAACACATAAGCCACACTTGTACCCGTGATCTGGATGCTAAATTTAAGCAATGTGCTCACAAACAATTCTAATGGCAAAGTTGATTTCTTTCCTGCATTGATCAGTAATGCAGGAGGTCATGATAAGGCTCACCTAAGCTTCTGTCCACATATGCCTCAGTTTTCATGGTGACCTAGAAAAGCAGTCATTGTTAATGACATACACACAAAGCACTACAACAAATTTTAACAATAGTTTCAATTGCTAGTTGAAAAACTAGCCAACCACAACCAATTAATCAGAAAATATAAAAATGCCAAGAGACTCCTTCCAGGGTGCATTACAAAAGAGAACAGAAAGGACAGCAGCATGGGACATTTACTTTTTTTGATCATGTACATTATAGCAGAACAGTCAGTGTTCCAAAATTTACCCAGTTGGGCATCAAGGATGTCAATGCATATTCATGCAACAGCCTTCTGGTTCCTTAGCTGTCTCACCACATACAACATTGTGTTGGCTGCTATGCTATTGTTTCCCTTTATCCTGGAGTCAACATTCCAACATGTCCACCCAATTCGCCAAGCCTGGGTGCCTGGACACTACAGTGACTACTGTTCAGCTTGGTCCTAATTGGCCTATCCTGAGTGATAAGTGGAGTAACTGGCAAACATCTCCTTGGGATGAATACCATGACAAACTATTGTCACCATTGCCACTCAAGTGACTCAATATTGCTATGTTGATCATGTAGACTTCAAAATTTTGGGCACAAACATCTGACTGGATAAACCTGTTAAAATGGGTCTCTGTGCAGCAAACTAGTTTGGAGAAGAGGTGCAAAATGTAAGCAAGTTTCCACTTTCCAGCTGGATTACAAAGCAAATCCAGTGATCTGCTATTCCCCAATTCTCCATGTTCAACCAGGATTGCAATACAGATCTAACAGTCAGCTATCCTGATACACAACAGCAATCTTCATCCTTCTGGGTTACTGGCAGCTTCTGAGTAGTTTCAGGATGATGTGCCAGTAACACATTTACTGCTCCACAATTTGCTTGTGAGATCATATATGTGGTTGGCAAAGGCTGACTAAAGCTCATGGTCTTAATAATGTAGCTTAACACTATTCTTGTTTTCCTTTCACAAGTTAATTCTGTCCAAAAGGCACAATTTAGATCAAATTTGAGAGCTCATGGGCACTGTATGACCAATTACGGTCAACACGCCCTTAAACTCCATATCACCATCAGCCTTTGAGAACAGCAAGACCTGGAGAAACACTTGGCCTGGATACATGCCCAATTTATTCTCATGATATAATTTATGAAATGCAAACTTCTTAGGCCTGCATTTTGTCAAGGGCACTCCCACAGAGCTAACAAGGGAGACAATGTAAAAAAATGAAGTGGTGGGTATTACAATGATCAATTCCCATTTAACAGTTTAATGCTTCTTAACAATCATTCAGGTTCTGGAAACCATGGGATATTACAAACAAATATAAACAAGAACATCACATTGCTGGGCACCCCTTTTTAAAAATATCCAGCACTCATGAAAACCATAATAACAATATGTAGTGATGCTCAAGTTCAGTCAATACAATCATGACGTCAGCTGCACAGCAATTTCTAGGCCTATACATCATAAATCTGAGCTCTCTGAGCTAGGTGCATGGCTGCCACCAATTTTGGAGCATAGAAAGAAAATGTTTGAGGAGTCATAATGTTGCAAGGGTCCTTTAAAGCAAAAATACTCAGATTCTTTATTGTTACACCAAAATCTTAAAATTTAGCACAGATTGGCCTGGTATGACCTTGCCATGTACAGACACAAGGTTCAGCACAACAATCTTACGCTTATCTGGCCCAATGGATCCAGTTTTCAGACTGGGGTGCCAAGACATGCAATACAATTGAAAGTTTTGAGAATAAGTCTGTGCATGCATAAGAAACACTGCCACCTCACTACCTCGCACGTCATCTGCCATGGGGGGAGGGGTAACTGGAGCCACAATGATTTCAAGATAGCCAATCTGTCACATGCAGGCGCAATGTTTCCTATACGCTACGTGCTCTTAGCACAGTACCCTTAAATGAGTGAGGTCTCAACGTTACAGACAAACAATGAATCGTATTTCAAAATACAATGAAATAGGCAACGGGAGGTGCTCACCTGGCGTCTGAAGCCTCACGCCCGACCGGCGACAAAGACCCTAGTAGATAGCCGGTTGTCCTGGACGAATGCAGCAGCTAATTCAACCACACATCACTCAATAACTGGTTTTAGGCCAATGTATCAGGGGGTAAAACTCGTTCCTCGTCCAACCGAACCACAACTTAACACATCACACGGCTTAAACAGCCCACTGGTGACATTTGCCCGCACCCTGCGCGAAAACGCAAATCCGCGGCTAATGTGGCGCAACGGCGCGGCACACGCCAACAAGCGAGGTCCTTTGACAGCCGACTAATGGCGTCATGAGGACACAGCCTCACCGTTGATCCCAGTTTCCATGATTCGTTCCCAATTCGCCCCATGCCTGGTCAAATGAGATTCACACATCTGCAACTTAGTCACACTGGACGGAATTAGACCGCTTCATCTTCACCCTTGGAATCGGATGTCATTCTATGAATACTTTCTGGCGCGTCATTTCCAGATGCCCTTATGCATGCTGTCACGCCGCGGTTTGAAGGTTAATTACATTGCAAATAATAATGCTTTAACGCTATATGGAGCATGCTGCTGTTTTTGTGAAACTTGACTGAACCACAATAAGCCTATAAATACAGTTCATCGCTGGGGTGGTGAACTTGTCGGCCACCTTCTGATATTCGTGAGTCACGCCATAATTCAAAGCATCGTGAAAGTCAACCAACAGCCAAGCCAACAGCCGTCTGGCATCCTCATCGAAATTAACAGCCCCACACACAGATGATAATGTATATCCAGTCATCACTTGTCAACATGTGAACGGTATGCGGGTCAAGCAATATAACAGCCGTACACTAGCAGCATCCAGCTACAGGTACAAGCTGGCAGCGAACACAATGTCCCTCTTCAGCAGGCGTATGCCCTCGCTGAACTTGTTCTCGAGGTCGGTGTTGCCGATTCCCTTGGCGGCCTGCACCATCTGGCGCAGCAGCTCCTCCAGCCGACGCATACAGCGGATGATGCTGCCTGCGGAGTGCCCAGACAACGCCCAGTTAGGACGCGAACAGGCAGACCTGGCGCTAGACATAGGAGCGCGACACGCACAAGGTCATCAAGTTACGCACACTCAGGTCTCAGGGCAATGTTGATTTGAGGCGCAAGAGAGCAAGGGAGAAACGGGTACACAGTGTGCAGTACGCATCAGGGCAACGTGAAAGAATGGTACACAGGGAGCTGCATACAGACGAAAGACATGCAGATTGTAACGGACCTAAGGCAGGTAGGCAGATGGAAGTGTGGGTGTCGGGGTATGAGGCGTTTCTGTGCAGGGAGATAACAGCGTGCGCAAGGCGCATTCACACGTGGTTGCCGCCGCCATAACGTCATGCGACATCTTCAGAGAACAGCTTTTGAGGGTTCAAAGTCCCCCGACACTGGTCACCATGAGTCCTGCCCAGCGCGAACAAAGCGCCCCGCCGCCTCGCCGGTTGACAGCGACAGCGAGCGCACGCACCTTCAAAGGCGTCCGTCATCTTGCAGAGCTCGCCGAAGCTGGAGCCCTGGCACCAGGCGTTGACGACATCCATCATGGCCGGCTTGAACTGGCCAACGTACTGCTCCTCGTCCAGCTCCAGCTTGGCCTCGACGCTGACGCGCGCTATCCGGCGGGCGAGCTCCTGAAATATTACGCACACGTTCTTGTGCACTAGCGGAATACCTCTCCGCCACACGGGGTCCGTCCGCTGGCGGTCAGCTGGCTTCAAATGACAACGATCATACCAGCACTGTTTTTCCTCAATGCGTTCAAAATGATCACAATGAAGTAACGAGTCTTGTCAGATTTGCCTGCCATGATCCTTTTTCTGTTCGTCAGATGCACTCAAAATTATTCAATGCAGGGCTTAAGTCCTCGCCGTCACTGCAAATTTCATCACTGTTCCCATTTCACAGCTCAGATAACTGACAGACATTGCCACTCGCTGACAGGGGTGTCGCTTCTTATCCAGCTGCGGGGAGGGGCGACTCAGAAAACAGCTCTGCTCCCAACTTGGAGAAAGAAGTGGGCCAAATTTGGGGAGGAGCCTGTTTTTTCAAAACGGTTTGGTGGTAGGTTTAACCACCGTTGCCTGTTGAGCCCCAAACTTTCTTGGCAAAAATCCACCTTGCCTTGGATTTTAGGCAGATGAAGACGCAATCACAATCATCTAAGCCGAGATTTACGCAGATGAGATCATTCCAGCCCTAGTTGTTACGGTTCCGCACGCGCACACTCGTAATGAGGCTGACGCGCCCTTTTACTGAGTTCCCCTACTTCCAAGTACAATACTCAGAGAGAGCAGAGCAGGTAGGGAGATGTGATCTGTCAGACAAGGGACCCTGTCAGGTGAGTGAACCAGGTGAGCGCCTGTCGCACATACCGCACCCGTTACCCCTGGTCGTGACATCTGTTGCGAGCATCAATAGAGACGAAGGCCTGCCGCCACCGTGACCCGGTAACCCGCTTCCCGTCGTCGTGACCCACGGCCCCCCCGTCGCCGTGACCCGCGACTCCTCCGTCGCCGTGACCCGCGCCCCCCCCCCCCCCCGTCGCCGTGACCCGCGACCCCTCCGTCGCCGCGAGCCGCGGCCCCTCCGTTGCCGTGACCCACGGCCCCCCCGTCGCTGTGACCCGCGGCTCCCCCGTCGCCGTGACCCGCGGCCCCTCCGTCGCCGTGACCCGCGGCCCCTCACACACCTGCATCTGTCGGAGCGCGCCCGACAGCTGGTCCTGCAGCTTGGGCGCATCATTTGACTTCTCGTCGAAGGTGAAGCAGGACATGAGCGCCACCGACTGCGGCACCGTCAGCTCGTTGAACATGCCGTTGAAGATCATCTCGGTGATTAGCAGCTCGTCGGCACTGCGTGGGCAGGAGAGGGCGTGTCAGGACACGTGCTCGCCGCCAGCGGCGCCCGCGGACGCGCGCTCACAGCGGAACGGAAAGGACCGCCGGCCAGGGCAATGGCACCACATGCTGCTTCAGCTGATGACAGCGACAGCAGCCACACAGGGCTAGAGCACGACGAGCCTGCGCTGCACTGCCCAGGGATGTTAGCATAGTTGAAACCATCTGTCAACTGCATCAGCATTAGCAGCCCCAACCACTCAACGGAAACGGGAGATGCAATTCCCGTGGAACTCCAGGGTGTTGGTGAAGTTTCCCAGCACACGCCTGCCCAACTTCGCACCGCACCATTAACAGCACTAGCAAGGTCCCATCTCCCCTTTCGTGCCGTCTTCGACCGCCGGTCCTGAGGGGGGGGGGGGGGGCACCATTGGCTGACCTGCTGAGCTCGCACGCGACGCGACCCTTGACCTCGATGACCCCAGCGGCCGTGCAGTAGCCGAGCCGGCGCAGCACGCGCTTCCGGCACTTGAGCTCGTCCATCTGCAGTAGCGATTTGGCGCGGCGCAGCTCCAGCTTGGCCGCTTTCAGCTCGTTGTTCAGCTGGAGGCGGCATGGGGCACGGGTCACGGCTGGGTCATCGGTCAGTCACGGATCAGGGGTCAAGACCTCGGGTCAACGGCACGATGACCGGCCACGGTCACCAGTCATCAGTAGTGGCCATCTGGTCGAACCCCTTCCCTAATAAGGTTCCAGGACTTCAACCAATCAGAACACACCCATCTCACCCACGTTAGTCACATCTCAGTATATAACCCGCCGCTACCTTACCCCAAAGGTCACGCGCTGCACAGTTGCCGGGCCTCGAGACCCAGTGGCCGACGACTCACCTCCACCTTCTCGACGTACTGGTTGTAGAGCTCGTCGAGATGCGGGTCGTCGTGCAGCGGATGGGAGAAGAGGCGGCGCTCAAACGACTCGATCTTCTCCACCAGCGAGACGAACTCACGGTCCCGGATGCCCATGTCCTTGACGGCGTCCAGCCGCGGCACGCCCGCCGGGAAGCGCCGCTTCATCTCCTGCCGGTGCCGGGGCAGGTCAGGTCAGATCAGGTCAGGTCAGGTCAGGTGATGGTCCGATCAGGTCAGACCGGCAGGCCAGTTCGTGTCAAGTCAGGTTACAGGCGTGTCTCGAGTCAGCACGGGCGAGACGGACGGGTCGCGTCCGCTCGCATCACCACACCGCATATTTGGGCGCTCTCATCTCGCCTCCACGCGCGCGCCCGCACGTCACATCACACCAGCAAATCACATTCCGAGGCATTTCCACGGACTTCGTAACACAGCACGGTCCAGCCAATGCAACAGCGATGACCGTGGGGCTTCTCCCAAGATACGGGCAACGAGAAGGACCGGATGGTCCGACAGCTGGGATCGCCAGCGAGCTGAGCGCGGCGTACGGACCTTGATGGTCTTGAGGACAATCATCCGGTTGTCGAGCGGCCGAAGGTCCTGCGGGTACTTGAGCCGAACGGCGCTGATTTCGTCGATCAGGTGCACCAGTACTGGCACCACCACCATCTCGCCCTTCTGGTCAGTCGCTGTCGGGAGAACAAATGACGTCAGCCGGGCGCACCAGCGCTGCCACCCGCCACCATCTCACCCCGATGGTTGGCCACTGTTAGGTAACAAATGACGTTTGTACCAGCCTTGGTACAAGCCACTGTACCAACTCGCCCTCCTGACCGGCTTCTCTCATCCCCTGTTGTTGGTTGGTGGTAGGGGTTGGGGTTGGGGTTGGAGGTGTGGGTGTGGATGTGGATGTGGATGTGGATGTGGATGTGGATGTGGATGTGGATGTGGATGGGGATGTGGATGTAGGTGGGGACTCGCATAGCGTGATGGAACATGATGGGAGAAGACAATGTACAAAAACAATGGGACGAGTGCTACAGCATAAGCACTAAGTGGAGTGAAAAACGAGTTGCATACACGTGGCTACAAGTAAAAGAAATAGCAGGTCCCCGGAATATACAAAAAAAAAAAAACGTCGCGGGAAGCGGTCGGCAACAATTTTTACCACAGGGGAAAACATCTCAAGGATTAAACAATTCCTCCCAGTCACTTAATTTCGTTAAGAAAGATGTCTGTTCCGTCCGCCACCGTATCCCAGACCAGGCCAGGAAACGAGAGTAACTCGGAGACTGAACCGAAGACCCGGAGTTTACTTCCGGCCAGGCCAGCAGACTGGACACGGGCCCCAGACTCACGCGGCGGCTCCAGCAGCGCTGTCTCCTTCAGCTGGGCCGTCTCCTTGGAGACGTGCATCAGCACGTCCACCACGTACGTGGCGCTGGACTCCAGCGGGTTGTCCGTCTTCTTGGCCTCCTCCCGCTTGTAGTTGATGACGATGCACCAGTCGAAGTCCTTGTCGTCCGTCTGGACCTGCGGCGGGCATGCCAAGAAGTGTTCAGCAAGATCGGGGGCGAGCCATCGCGTCACACGCACCACATCGTGCATGGACGGAAGGAGAGCGTGCGCAGTGTCACTCGGCGTCTCTCAGCGTCAGTGTCACTCGGCGTCGGTTCAGATCGCGTCTGGCAGGAAAAAAGCCTATCCACTGACACGGTCTGCGTGTAACCAGCGCCCATGCACATCCTCTCGGGAGAACCTATCCGACAATCGCTAGAGCCACGATATCAGGACTCTCGGATTTGAGACGACTACGTGACAAATAGATTCACCGCCGGGTTCGACGTCGAAGCGCACAAAACAAGAACACAGAACGCGGCTCCGTGTGCGGGAAGTCGCATGAGGCTCCGCACCACTCCATTGTGGCCCCGCGTCACCCAGCTCCAAGCTCCAACGGTAAGCGCGTGGAAGAACCACCACAACCGGCGCGCGAGCCCTCCACTCACGTGCACCACGCGGCCCGGGTTCAGGAACGGCACGATGTACTTGGGCAGCGTGATGTACTTCTGGTAGTCCTTCTTGAGCGCGGCCAGCTGCATGCGCAGCTTGTAGTAGGAGGCCACCTCGGCTTCGCGCGCGATGCTGAGAGCGTCGTGACTGGTGCGCGCCTTGTTCACCCCTGCAGCGGCGGCGGGAGAGGGGACGTCAGGCGCACGCTGCCGCCAGACCCTCCGCGGGGGGGGGGGGGGAGGGGGGGGGGGGCGGGCGCCGGCCGCTCCCACGTGGAGTGGACACTGCGACAGGCTGGAGAGGGAGCCCCTCAGCAGCGGCAGTCAGCGCGGGAGATGAGCTGATCACGATACAGAGATTACAGGCGGTGTGTGGTATATAACAGCTGATGACGTGATGGCCCCTCTGGATGGAACTGACATTGAAAAACGCGCACGAGACGGCATTACAGAGCGAGTCCGTTCCTTGCACCTCTCACCGGAACCAGCGGGCGGTGCCCAGCCAGTAGCGCGTTCACTCACGGTCGCACAGTCCTGGAATGGCGGCGTAGTTCTGGAACTGGAAGAAGGAGCGCTCCAGCATGTACTCGGGGTTGATCTCCTCCACGCGAAGCAGGTTCAGTACCTGCGGAGGCCGCGGGCCCACAGTCAGGGCCGGCTTACCCTGCATACAACACCGCCCGACCGTGGTCCGCCACCAAGGAGGCCGCACTAAGAGGGTCCGCCGTCGAGGAGGCCGCACTGGGGGGGGGGGGGGGGGGGCGTCGCCTAGGAGGTCGCACTAGGAGGGTCCACCGACGAGGAGGCCGCACTAGAAGGGTCCACCGCACTCAGGGCTCTGACCAGCCGAGCCCAAAGTAAGCCGCCCCCCGCCGCCAACCAGTGGAAACACAGGATAACGAGCGGCTGGCCGGCAGCTGACCACTCCGCGAGTCAGCCTGATGGCCAGGTCAGCAATAGCTCGTTCCATCGAACTTGGGGAAAGGGAAGCCAGTGCGCTACTCCCGTGATGGATACGTCATGATTGGCCGTACCAGCGGTAGCCAAACGGCGACAGAATATTGGAAGTGACAAGGTGCTGGGAAGTGGCTGCAAAAATCACAATACTTGTGGCAATTGAAAAATTACTTTGCTTTGTTCTGTGCCACATTAAGTGTCACACCATGATTTCTCATAAACGATTATTCAAATAAGGCATAACAAGATTGCAAGCCTAATTTGGCAACACAACCAACCACCATATCAGCTCACAATAATCATATGTCTGGCAATACTGACCACTAGTTCACTACCCAGCCCTGCACCCACCATGTTGTATGTGAGGTGGAAGGCCGAGTTGAGCGGGTCGGCCATGCCCTTCACCAGGTTCTTCCCCACGGCCGGCGACATGCTCTCGTCCACCATGAGGATGACGATGCCCTTGTCGTCCTTGCCTCGCCGGCCGGCCCTGCCCGACATCTGGATGTACTCGCCAGACGACAGCTGGCGGAAGACGAGCGAACATGAAGTGAGAAAGAAACCCACAAGGTGGCGCCGCCCGCTCATTCGGCGACCGCCGCCGACCAACAGCACGGCACACCGCGGACAGAGCAGGGGAAGGTTACTCGAAGACGCTGCGGTACAAGGCGCTCATCAACAGACGGCACACGCCTCAGAATCGACGCAGAGAATACGGCTGACGGTGTGAGGTGGCCCAATACAGGGGCCACCTCACACCGTTAGCTGATTTGCTGGCTACGCAAATCGTGGCAGTGGCAGTGCGCAAAGCGTCGATACATCACTAAACACAGGTCCGCATCCGATGCACTGCTAGTTTTCAGCACACCGAACATCAGCTTCGCTTCCAACCGAGCGCAAACACGACTGAATGGCTAGAAACAAGGCCAGACCAAAGATCGTACCCATCGGAAGTCCTTGCCGTCAAACTTCCTGCAGCCAGTGAAGAGCACAGTGCGGGCCGGCATGTTCAGGCCCATGGCGAACGTCTCAGTGGCGAATAGCGCCTTGATCAGACCTTCTCCGAACAGGATCTCGATCGTCTCCTGAGGGCAAGCGAGGCCGCAGTGACGAGTCGATTGATGCCTGATGCATGGGAACAAATAGCTGGAATAACAACACAGAAGAACCATACACAAACGTCACTCCCCTGGCGACTCTAGAATGTTCCAATTAACGCAAACTTATGCCTGAAAACCCACCGAAAATATAAACCAAACGCTACGGATAGCTTCGAGAGTTGCTCAAATGACACCACACACCGTTACCCCAGCGCAGGAGCCTGTCCCGCTGGACGCCGGAGCACCGGGCCGACCGCCCTGAACGGTTCTCCGTCCGCATCCGGCCTCGCACCTTCAGTATGGGCAGCAGGCCACCGTGGTGGATGCCGATGCCACGCCGTAGCAGCGGCAGCACGTGCTCCACCTGCGGCAGCTGCCGGTCCTCTTCCGACAGCACGTCCATCGCGTTGTTGAACACCTCCTCCACCAGCCGCTTCTCGTCGCCTGGCGACAAGGATTGCGCCTATGTGGTGATCGGTCCTGACAGCAACCTTACGGACAGCGCAGACCTGACGCATGGGACATTTGCCAGCTACCTCATCACCATCTGTTAAGAATGCCGTGCCCAGCACCATACGACCATGCCTTAGAGCTCGACACCGGCACAGACACTACCACAGCAACCGAAGCGCGGTGTTCTGCACCGATGCCACGGGCGCGGCAGCCGCCGGCCGACCGCTCACCGGTGTTGAAGTCCAGCTTGGCCATCTGCAGGGCGTACGCCTCGCACTCCTTCTTGCTGAAGCTGAAGACGATGACAGGCGCCAGGTTGCGCTCCATCACCATCTTGATGATCTTGTAGACGTTGGTGCCCTCCTTGGAGCCGGCCTTGTTGCCGGGGCCGCGGGTCTTGCGCGCCGCGTCACTCGGGTTCGCCAGACCGGCCATCGCGGCGCTGAAGTTGTCCTCGCGGAACGTGCCCTGGGGACGAAGGCGGCGCGCCGCCCAGCGAGCTGTCAGTACAGCCAGCGACGGCGAGCATTGGTGCTCAGCAACGCGGCTCAGCAAGGGGAAAATGGCAGCTCCACACACACCGCAACGCACGCAACGCCAACGCAGACACCATGCGACAGTCTTCTCAAGAGCGTGACTGAAGCCAGAGATGTAGAACAGGCCCATCGAGAGACGGTGCTCGGCCTCAGAACTCGGATAATCAAGTACAAACGCAATGAAGTCGAGCGCTATTGAGAGGTCACAGGCTGCTAGAGTCAGACAGTTGCCAATGAATGCGGTTACGCCCCGCATGCCTGACTTTCCCTGCTGACTGGTTTGAAGTCGGGATGGATGGGATGGGATGTGATGGGATGGGATGGGATGGGATGGGTCGGGTCGGGTCGGGTCGGGTCGGGTCGGGTCGGGTCGGGTCGGGTCGGGTCGGGTCGGGTCGGGTCGGGTCGGGTCTAGTCTGGTGTTGTCTGGTCTGATCTAGTCGGAGCTGGTCTGGTCTGGTCTGGTTAGGTCAGGTCAGGTCAGGTCAGGTCAGGTCAGGTCAGGTCAGGTCTGGTCTGGTAAGGTCAGATAAGACCAGACCAGATCCGATCAAATCAGACCAGATCAGATCAGATCAGGTCAGGTCACGCCGGGTCAATCGGAGCCTGACCTGCTCGTCGACCACCAGGTGGATACCGTCGCCGCCGGACGGGTAGATGTAGTGCTGCAGCGGCGTCGGCCGGAAGTCCGTGTACACCACGTGACACGGCTGCTTGTGCAGGTAGGTGATCCACTCAGCGAACTGCGCGCAGACCAAGGAGTCACGTGACGCCCGGTACGTAAAACTGAGCTGATCACCACAGAAGACGCAAGAGAGACACAAAAGCATTTGTCCCTGACCTCCACGTAAGCTAAATCACGGTGACTCCGTCCATAATGCGCGCTGAGTTCACATCGCTCTGGTTTCAGCTCCAGACAAACTCAAGCATTACAGAAAGCAAGTCATCAAGTATATGCCAACCAATGATCGTGCAAACATCGCTACCTTCCAGTTTACACGGGGTCCGATCATCCCAGGCCGCTGACACGGGCCGTGCAGGGCACCACCACCGCCCAACCCCAGCTGCCGGGCGGCCCGTGGCGGCTCGGGTCGCACCTGTCTGGCGTTGGGTATGGTGGCCGAGAGGAAGACGTAGTGGACCGAGTCGGGCAGCAGGATGATGGTCTCCTCCCAGACGTAGCCACGCGACTTGTCCCGCATGTAGTGGATCTCGTCGAACACGACCCAGGCCACCTCGCGCATCACCTCCGAGCCTCGGTACAGCATGCTGCGCAGGATCTGGCGGCGCGGGGCCGATCAGCTCCCGCAGCACCAGCGCTCCTCCCGCCTACCGTTCGGCCAGAGCGCGGAAATCGACAGCGAAAAGGGTATGATCACGGCGCCTGTTATGCTTCCCTTCCGCATGACAATCGACACGCCAAATGGCAGCCTGTGGATCACGACCCCCTTTTGATGTCCGTGTTTTCAATCCTTGCATCCAAATCACGGCCCCGGCCGTCGCAGCACCTTGATCATTGTCCACGCTGGTAAGCTTCATATACTGACTGGCAAACGCATGATTCCAAATAGCATAAGTCATCATTCCATGCTATGACTGCTCCTAACGACTGGAAAGGAACGATGGCCGACTAGGCGCGACAGATTGCGAAAAATTGCAACTTCACTGAGAACTACCAACAACCCATATACATCCAGAGAGATATAGCACAAAGCTTGGTACATAACGGCGCATGCTAAACGTCACGGCGCTTTTCCGCCTGCAAGCTGAGTGACTTCTAGCCGTAATTGCCGTCGTGGAGATCCCAGGCATTATTCTCGGGCATCCTCGCGGCGCTAACACGACAGTTGCCTTTCTAACAAAAGCAAATGTTCTCTGCGCGCTCCGCGGCCGGCGGCGTTGTGCGGCACGACCCCACCAACCTCTGTGGTCATGATGAGGCACGAGGCGGTCGGGTTGATGGTGACGTCGCCCGTCATCAGGCCCACGTCCTGGAACTCCTCGTTGAACTCGCGGTACTTCTGGTTGCTCAGCGCCTTGATGGGGGTCGTGTAGATGACCCGCTGCTTGTCGCGCAGAGACAAGGCAATGGCGTACCTGTCAGAGGCGGAGACCGCGTGACACGTGCGGCACCTCTTACCGATCGACATGCCGACGGCTGCCAACGTCGCACGGAACACGAGCGTGGCCTCAGCGGGTGTCATTCTGGGAGAAAAGTGATCAAGAGAGAGATGATGAACAGCACCAAGCTGAGTGACAAGCTGTAGCACGCACATCAATCCAACAGGTCGGGAGAGAGATAGGCATTACCCGTCAGAAACGTACAAAACCGCCAATATGCCGCGGACTGGCCTCCTCCGCCAAAAGCTCACCCTCTCCAAACGCGGGGAGCTACTCACTCGGCGACGACCGTCTTTCCGGCGGAGGTGTGGGCCGACACCAGTACCGACTGGTTACTCTCCAGGCAGAGCACGGCCTCCTTCTGGAACGGGTCCAGCACAAACGGGTACTCCTTGGGCGGCGACCGGGTGGGCGCCGTCAGCGGCACGTACTCCTGGTCGGGCGGCACGCATACCTCGTGCACGCACGACTCCATCGTGTCGATGGTGTGCACCTGGATCCGCGGCATCTGCTCGGCCAGCCTGGGGCATATCACAGCTGAGGTTAGGCCATGTGTTCCACTAGGTTGTATGCGAGGTTCATGCAGCGGGGTGGCTGGGTCGGGTCAGAGTTCAGAGTAAGATGGGCAGAAGGTAGCGTGAAATACCCTGACAGCTGCAATTGTCAGGAGAGATGGAGGGTCATTGAAGCAGGATGTGGGAACATCACAGTTTATGCCATTCCTATGAGCAGTCCCAGCTGTGGATGAAGAATACATCAGTGAGGATTCCAGACTGCCAAAACCCCCCAATGCATGCTGCAATCTGTACTAAGTTCATCCCCAAACAGTGGATTAATGGCCAATTACAACATATGTACCACCTTCCCAGACTAGCTCAGATGTGCTTCATAATGTTGTGGCAGGTGGCACTCTACCTGCAAAGTTCAGCTTTCAATACAGTACCTGAAACAAACTACACCTGTGCAACAACACTAGCCTTGCATTTAATACACTCACTTAGCATCATCTACTGCCTCTTCCTCCACCTTGAATTTCTTGGCATCATCAGCTTCATCACCACTGGCCTCCTCAGCATTTCTCTTACCAGATGTCAGCTGCTGCAGCAGGTCATCCACTGATGGCTCCCTGTCACAAAGAGTGAGTCAGCTGTGCCAACCCAGAGACCCATGCCTGCCTGCCTGCCTTTCCCATCCTGGTACAGCTGGGTGTGATAGTTGGAGATTGGAAAAGTTGCAAAAGGCACAGACATCCATCCCATATCCAAAATGACATGTTGCCACCAGAATTATATTTAAACCAAGATCAAGCAAAACAAAACCAGAATTAGAAATACATGAACTAAATACTCAATTATATCCATCAGATACAGAGGTGCTAAAAACAAATAACATGAAGAGGCCAGATACAGATTTTGATCCCTATGCATTGAGATGAATTTGGTATTCAATTTACCATTATTTATGAGGTGACAAGCATGCACAGGGTTCTAGAATCTGCTGTCTATAGCCTCATTCCTGAATATGCCCACTTATTCTTTACATACAATACAAAGTACATATGTCTATAACACAACATCCATATAGCTTACACTTCTTTTGAAGTTTTTTGCTTAGCATTCCCATTCTTGTTTGCATTATCTGGTGTTACAGATGATTTATCTTCAAACACTGAGAAAAGGTCATCATCCATGATGACAGGCTGAAAAGGCAGTTTCAGTCACAAGATGCATCAAGCACAGACAAGGGCCTAAATAGCACTTCAAACTGATATCAAATCATATAAAAACACATCATTTAGGAACACAAACATCCTTAAGTTCTCAAAACCAAGTCCAGTCAACAAAAATAGAGCACAATTTACATGCATGAGAACACCAAGGCCCCAGACTGATGCATCTTGCTATATATTCTAAATTTTTAAGTCACCACTAATGACATCTAGACATGTACTGATACCACATCACTTGGTCTTAACATGTCATGTTCCATGATGCCAGCAATAGCAATGAATTCAATGCAGTCAATCAGTTGAACAATGCCAGCACCAATGATGAGAACTCCCATATGAGGCCTTGAGAACCATCAGAATGATGTGGTAGCCTGCTGTTTGCATTCAATTAAAGACATTGCCACACAACAGTAGTGATGGCAAGATATACACATTGACTATTTCACAAGGAAATTTCAAGACAAATCAGAGACATTCTTATTAAAAAATTGGCTGTTAATAATTTGTTTTCAACCAAAGTGAATTTCAATGTCAGAGTACAAGTTAACACCTTTTGTCCTAGAACAAATTGATACAAAGAAATTGCTTGTAGGCATCATATGCAAAGTTCTTTCAATAGTAATACAAGATATTGGATAGACAAAGGTACCTCATGTTACAACAGAGCATTGCACATAAGCCACCTTCTTTAAGGGAGTAAATGTTGTAGATAATCATAAAACACATACATCTACTCACACCTTGGACCTTTAATAACTATTATAGATTATGTCCAGCACTGCAGAGACAAAACACTCCTGACTCCCTGCACAATTATGGATGGAGCAATCTGTCTGCAGTTCCTCCACAAAAACCTTTTGAGGAAAATGTAAAAAAGAACCAGAATCTAACCTAACCTAGCCTAGGCTAAGCTGTCACCACCCTATCTAACCGCCCCACCCAATCCCCTGTATTCCCATGTTTCATTAGCATCTGTGCTGTCAGCATGAGAGAACTGCCTTTGACCAACATCCGCCATCATGATCATGATCACTATATGTTGAAGGTAAGATAATACGGTGTCCTGCAAATATTCCCCTTTTATGATCATTTATGGTGTCTGATGCCTTGGGGACATCAGTTCATGACTATTTCAGCATTGCAGTGTAAGGTCCCGATGCAGATAATGACCCAGCACACCAATCTCATCAAATCTCCTGCCACGTCCACACTCACCAACGCTGTCTGACGGTACTCAAAATATCCCCAATGTTCCACGTAATTGTTCACACCAGCGTTCTATTGCCCTGGTCCACACGCACCACGCTGCTGCATCCCGGTGTATGCGTTACAAACGTCCCAAGAAAGCAAGTTTGAAACATTATCCAAGTTTAATATGGATGTAAGCAAGTCAATTAAAAAAGAGAACGATTTTTATATCTTCTTAATCTTTGAAGCAGTAAAAGAAAGTTTCAATATTTGAAGCTGCTTTATTATGAAATTATTTTCTGCATATTAGTTTCGCTATATTTCTGTACTACTTGCGTAAATACGGACGAGGCTGGCGCGTTAGACGTTTCCGACGCTAAGGCTAGTGACTTGCTTTATTTTGCAAGCAATTTTGCCGGGTGGCCTTTTGGAGTCTGTCATCGGGCCATCGCATATCAGCCATAGTTTACAACCGGCAAAGGCATTTAAGAACAAAGCTTCGGGTACCAGCAACGTAAGTATTTAAGGAAGACAGCTACAAGCACCAGCAGCGTAAATCCAAATTACAGCGACAATGATCCTTTCTCTTGACTTCAGTTTCCATCTCTGTCGTCGTAAGGTAAAACCCGGTGTGTTCATTTTTGGCTGTTTTGCGTTGTTAATGCTGCTGATCTGTCTTCTCATGCTAAATTCTGCTATTTAAAATGTTTGTCAAACTTTTCACCAACCTTTTAGCCCTTTTTCAGCTAAAAGTGAAATTTGCAGCAATGGTTGAATAATCAAATCCAGTACGAGAAGGCGAATCACATGGCATGAAAATGCCAGGTGGCTAAAAATGGATAAATGGGGTTTTATCTATGAGAGACAGACCTGCCCTCATGGGTGACATTGGTGGGTGCAGACTACCTGATCAGCAGGTGTGGCAATGCTTTGTGGCACATTTTATTAGAGGAATGTCTAAATTATGCTTTGTAACTGGTCGTACCATACACATGAGCCTCCCAATGCCTTATTATTGTTGCAAGAGTACCCTAATTCCCAGGACATGTTTATAAAGGTGTTAGGAATGCAACCCATGTATTATGTGTGGATATTGAAAATCCTTCTTGGACCACTTTTTAACTATTGTCATGTCTGCTGTCTTCTATCCCTGAAACATTGGATCTCTGTGCACTGTAATCAGTTGTAACTGTGCATTGGTCTCACAGCAGTTAAGACAGATGTACTGTGTGTGACTGAACTCAGGGTTAAAATCTCATCACAGATATGCCAGACATAGCACCTTTACTGTGATATGTTTTTCCATTGTTGGCTGGTGGCAAAATTGTGTGGTGCAGCCTTATGACCAAATGTAACTGTTCCCTTGGTTTTATCTGTTTCATGTTTGGATAGTTGATCATTGTGTTATTTCTCAAAAAGATAAGGGGCTTGTTCATGTTGCATTTCTAAAAAAAGATGCCATGATTTTAGAAGAGGTGATGAGGGTATGGAAGTCTGCTACCATAGGAATGATTTTGAGGGAGATGTCAGCTGTCTGCATACAACTTTACCAAATTTTGTTTTGGTGCAGTGACAGTGAACAATGTTCAACATTGATTTTACTAAAAACAATATTGTAGAATAGTGATTCTATGGAAAAAATACCATGAACAGGACTGAAAATAGCTACCTGCATTAGTTCAGGCTCAGTGAGCTTAGCCAAACAATGTACCTGCTCTTTGTCTCTCACCTGGTACCACTGGCTTACATGTCATGCAAGGTTTTCCCAGGCAACAGGGGTGACAAACTTCTTTCATTGCACACCTTTCATGTTATTTCACCTTGTACTGCGCTGAGAAGTGATGACTTGGGATCAATGATGTTAGTTTCCTAGGATGCATTGTAGGTAGCCTTCATGTCTGAGACTTCACCCACTACAACTAACACCAATGTCTTGCAAAGACTACTTAACTGTTATAGTTGTCAGATGCCCATGGCAGCATTATGGCCTATCAGTTAGCACCTTTAGGTGCCACGTGGAGGCCCCTAGTTTGAACCCTGATTACAACATGGGCCCTGAGTGCTCAAATGGCCTGTACAGTTGCTGATGCCCTGTGAAAGGGTGCATGGTGATAACATGACTGTCATGCCCCCTTTTTAAAAAGACAAACTACTTCTCATGATATGTTGTGAGCTGTGGGTTCTGAAAGTGCAGTGGTTAAAGGGAGCATCCTGCCTTTTTTACTTTTCACTCATTGTTTCACCAGGTGAATACAATTTGAACAGTAATGCTGGTTTTCTTGTGATGATTCTAAAAAGCTCAGCACTTTGATTTGAAACAGCTGACCCTGCAGGAGAAATCTGATTTGACTCACTGCTCACCTCCATGAAAGTCATGCATTTCATTTGCCTTGCTTTTTTCCAACCTGTGTGTTCTGTAGTGTTTGTGACACACAATATTTATGTAAAATATGTTGAAAAAGTTTGAAACACTTTGTTTAGACAAAATATATATGAACAAAAAGTGTTATCCCACAAATTTAACAAAAAGCTAGATGTATTCGGGGTCACATCGTGGCTTGACCACCTCACACGCAACGACGAACTGCCGCACACGAAGCTGACAGGGAGACTCTCCCTACATGCCCAAGCAGCACCTCTTATGCTCCTTTCAAGCCCACCTGCAACACGATCGGCGTGCGACTCGCCGGCGCCACCGCGTCTCACCTCACCGTGTCCACAGGCTAACGCATCACGCCTTCGCCGTGACCGTTTCCCTACGTTAACACTGTCCTAGGGTGTAATCTATTGCCACATATGGTCCACTGCTACACTATACCATGGGTTTGATTTCTCTCCTGTGGTGTTTATCATGGTGGCTCAAGGCAAGGCACACATTGGCTGGGCGAATGGGAGTATTGCATACTTCATGTGACACACTAGTTCAAACTTCCCCCAAAATGACAAATTGTCTGCCAGGGTGAGGGGAAGGTGACACCATATGGCCACAGTAGTCCATTGCATTAGAAAGCTACAATGATTCAGGATCTGTTCATGCACGATGTCTTGGTAGCATTAAATGTGTTCCTTGAATTTGATTGTGGGTGTGCCTTTAACAAGAATGTGAAGGCTGTCTTATGATTATGCCTGTGTTTGTTTCAGTCATCATGTTCCTGACGCGCTCCGAGTATGACCGGGGCGTGAACACCTTTTCGCCAGAAGGCCGGCTTTTCCAGGTGGGTGTCTGATGGGGCCTGCTGGTCGGCCGGGGGTGGCGGTGTCTGACGTCCCCCTCTGGTCGGCGTGAGGTGGTGGAGGCTGGCCTCTCACTCTGGTCGAGGGGAGCTAATTAGGCTGGATAACGCCCTCTGGTCGTTGAGACACCAAACGTCTCAACGGACATATGTGCCAAGCGCATTTATGTGTAATATGACGTGAAGAAACATATGCATGGTTGAGATACCAAATGTCCCAATGCACATTTGTATCAAGCACGTTCATGTGTATCACAAAATGGGGAAACATATACCTGTATTGTTGTGCAAATGCATTATTTGTTGTATAAGCACCAAATCATCCTTAAAAGATGAATTAAGATGTGCTTGCCACCCCTTGATGAGCCGCGCCTCATTATGTTGTTGGCACGTGGCCTCTCCCACTCGACACGGCGACCCAAACATGGGCCGACGGCCGCCGTACGCTGCTGAACGGCCAGTGCCCCATTTGGTACTCCATTGGGTCGACTGAGACGGTACTTATGCGTAGGGAAGACTTTGGTGAGAGTGTTGATGCCATACAGAGTCCTTGACTGGAGCTGGACAATGGTTGCTGGACGTGTGAGATCCACAATGCCGAACATTTTCAGTTACTGGGCATTCTTATCCAGCGCAGGGAAGCCACATCGCATTATGCTTGATTATTGGGCTTGCGGATCGATATATCGTTTCAGAACCGCCATACTCACCATAAAAAGCCAGCTGTTGCATGTAGCTGGCAACACATGCTGTTGCCAGCTACTCCGCGTGTCCTTATCTCAGGCTGTGACTGACATTAAACGTACACAAGAAGCTGTTGTAAGCTAAAACGGCAGCGAGCGCTGGTGGTGTCCTGTCTCGAGCAGACCGGCAGCAGCGGCCGTGAGAGCTGACCAGTCAGTGGCGCACCGGGCCTCGTTACCAGAGCCCGGCCCGGCCGGTGGTGTCCTGTCTCGAGCAGGCCGGCAGTAGCGGCAGTGAGAGCTGACCAATCAGTGGCGCACCGGGCCTCGTTACCAGAGCCCGGCCCGGCCGGTGGTGTCCAGGCTCGAGCAGGCCGGCAGCGCGGCCATGAGAGCTGACCAGTCAGTGGCCCACCGGGCCTCGTTACCAGAGCCCGGCCCGGCCGGTGGTGTCCAGGCTCGAGCAGGCCGGCAGCGCGGCCATGAGAGCTGACCAGTCAGTGGCCCACCGGGCCTCGTTACCAGAGCCCGGCCCGGCCGGTGGTGTCCAGGCTCGAGCAGGCCGGCAGCAGCGGCAGTGAGAGCTGACCAGTCAGTGGCGCACTGGGACTCGTTACCAGCGGCCGGCGCGGCCGGTGGCCGCAGCTGCCTGACTCGAGCCCCGGCTGTCAGCCGGCGAGTCCGGTCCATCACGGGTCATTAGTGGCGGGCGGCCGGCGGGCGTCGGTAGCCCGGTCACGTGCTCGCCGGCCGACCGCCGGTGCGACGGCCTCTGTTGCCGGCCGGCCGCTCAGCGACCGCGCACTCCCTGCTGGTGTCACGACACCAGTGCTGCGGCAAAAATGCGTACCGGCAGGAGTGCTACGACGTCAGTCATACGTGACATGACTTAGCATGACATGACATAGCAATATCATGACATGTGACATGACGTAGCAATGACTGTATAAGTTTTTACACACATCACACATAGCATGCCATGTGACATGACATAGCAATGGCTGTATAAGTTTTTGCATAGGGGTTATTACCAGTAAAGGGCTTTTGAGCATAAGTTTTGTCGTGTAGCACTAATATCACGTATAATTGTTTGCAGTAGCAGTCATGTCGTGTGTAAGTGAGGACTTTATAAGCGTTCCCAGTAGAAGTAATGACGAGTGCAAGTTTTTGCAACAAAAGTGTTGTCGCATAGTACTGATGTCATGTATAAGCATTTGCAGTAAAAGCAATCTTGTAACACTACTGCCAGTATTGGTTTTTGTTTTAGCGCTAATGCCGTGGAGCCGGCCCTGCTGGCCTTAGTTTGGACTGGAGCCCTTTCGGGCAGCAATTACTGTTGCGGGGCCATGCCATGTAAAAGGGTTGAAGAGTAAAGCGACAAGACTGTATGCGCTTGGGGATCCTTTGCTTCCGGGACTTAGTTCGTACAGGAAGCATTCTCCGGGCTATGTGCGGGCCCTCGGGGGGGGGGGGGGGGGAGGGGAGGGGCACTTCAGTCCTTTGATGGCTGGTGCCTGCAGCCAGCCCGGACAATAAGGGCGTTCCATGGATGAAGGATGAAGCGTTGAGTGCGGACAGACGGATGGGCGGGCTCAGGGAGCACTCCAAGACCCGCGAGCGGGTCACTCGCTGCACCGACCTGAGGTCAGGCGGGGGCTCAGGTGAACCGCGTGGATTCACCTGCTGGAGGAAACAGAATGTGGGGCCGAGGTGTTGTAGAACAACGAAATGTCGGGCTGGGAGCACGTAGAGCAACGAAATGTTGGACTGGGGGCGCGTAGAACAACGAAATGTCGGCTGGGAGTGCGTAGACCAACAAAATGGTGGGCTGGAATGTTGTTGGAATAACGCAATGACTGCATATTGAAAGACTGCATCCGGGAAGGTAAGCTCACAAATAATCCGCGAGTACGTCACCATTAATGGTTTTCAACCTGGCATTTTTTCGAGTGGGCTTTTAAATCGTTGAACAGGATTGTAGGCCTGGAAGCTGTCGCCAACGTTGGTGATGAGTTGGCAAGCTGGCCATTTGGGCCGTCCTGTTGTTTCCACAGCGCGGGACTCCCAACCGGCGCACGCCGGTTTTGTCCACCCGGGCATGTACCATGCACTTTCGGTTACAAAACTAATGACTTCATCGCATGAAGTACTCCGGCCGGGCCGTCGATTCGACTTTCCGCCCGTCGTCGTTTTCCCGCTCCTTCCTGGTTCGTCGTGCCGCCAACAGATGGCAGCATGGACGCGCGCCAGGCAGGCCGTCGGCGAACGGTGTCCGTGCATCGGCGGCTGGGGACGACGAACCCAAGAGTGCCAGGTCTTCCCCACACCCGGTGCCGTACTTACTGTTTAACCACTTTGGCACGGGTTTCATGCCGGCGCGGAAGGTCGTTCGGGTGTAATGGCGGTGGCCGATATGCGGAGGTAGTGGTACTCACTCAGTCGATGGGCCTCCGGCGGTCGCGGACGGCCGGGCCCGCTGAACCTGGCCCGTCGACGGCCTGGGGTCACCACTGGCGCTCAGTTCTCCGGCCGGGCTGCTGCCCCGGACGTACGCCGACCGTCCGTCTCGAATGTCTTATCAGTCCTGCTTACTGTCATTGCAACAGGGGCTGTGTACTTCCAAGGATGCCTCACTTAATTCAGTCGGGTTAACTCCGTTGTGGAATGAGTCGCAGGCGTTAGATGTAAGGCTCACGCGCAAGTGGCGGTGGAATGCGCCGCCCGATTTATCGAGCGCCGGCCGCGTGCGTTTGGCAGCATGCCGTCCCTGTTGCGCCTGTTACACCATCCAGTTCCGATGGCACCTGCCTCGCCTCAGCCTGTAATACCACCTTCTGGGCGGTCCTTGTTTCACCTGTTTTACTGGTGCCTGTGAGACGTCCCAGCTCCCAGCGTCTATTACACGTGCGACTCACATGTAATGACTCGCGGCTGACGTATAAAAACACGTGGGATGTGTTCTTCGTCCAGTCACGTCTTTTTTATCTTAAAGGGAGTGTTTCACATTGATATGGGGTTTTGAGACTGAAGACCTTTCTGTGCTGTTCACGATCCTGCCCTTCTCAAGACCCAAACCCCCTAGTTTCTGAGCTACACGACCTCGACGTTGGGGAAGGGTATACAGGGGAGAGCATTTCAGGCATCTTGGCATTTATGACGTCATAATAACGTCATTCAAATCCTGCCATTCCATAAGTCATGCTGCGATCAAGGCCAAGAAAAGAAACTGTGGAGCCGTTCATATCTCGCGTTCGTGAGCTCAATTTTTAAATATAACAGTCGCCAACTGGCTCTCAAGCAAGGTATGATGACGTAATCAAACCACGACGCATTGAGGAGCATATTTACTCAATAGGACATTGCGCTGTGTAGAGCAGCCTTTTCCACTTTAAAAGCATGCCAAGAGTTATAAGCGAGCTTGTTTCATCATATGTGATGCTTTCTTCAATATCTTCAAATGTGAACCATTCTCTTTCAATTAGTAGCTGACCAGGGTAAATAAAACACGCGTTGTTGATTGGTGATATAGTATTCTGAACTAAAGACAGGGTTTCCGCCCTCGTCCCAGAAGTGTTGGCAGGTAAGATCTATATAGACTTCTATATCTATATAGACTTCCTGGAACGTACTGACGACAGCTAATTGTACGTAAGGTAAGGGCAATGTTCTGGACGTTTTTGGGTATTGCCGTCCAAGTTATCCCCGCAGCGTACCGTCGTAGTCCACCAACTAAAACTCCGGTTTCCAAGACACCCTTCGCGTCGGCTTTGATTCATTTTAGGAGGGCCGAGGAACCCATTACAGTAAGTGACCTGCCAGCGTCGATGGGCCGTACTTGGAGAAGTTTTGTGTGTATTTGGATAACAGTATTTTAGTTTCGGTAGACCACTTTGATGAATCGTACCATCACAGGCTCGATGTTTTACTTTGGTGTTCATACATCTAGGGACTTGAACTATGCACTGAAAACATTGAGCCTGTGTGTGCTTGTGTAGGAATGTCATATCCCAAGAAAAATAGCCAGTAAGATGAGTGGAATATTTTCTGCGACTTTATAGCTACAATGACCAGCTGGAGAATAGATCCCCTGTGGCTCTAAAATAATTCAAAACATTTTTGGCCTATAATCATTATTTTCAGCTCATTGTAAACCTTCAGTCGGCTGAAGTTTAAGGGACAAGACATCCATTTCACCGAAGTGAACATATCGTCTTAACCGATTTAAGCCACCAAGATGCTTGGCGTATCTGAGAGACTACAAGTTGTCTGATTTACTTCTTCAAATGCTGCTCCCATGAACGATTTTGGAGCGTTTTTTCAACCTTGGTGTCGTGATCGATATTATGTAATTATTATATTATTTTATTTAATTGTTATGATATTATTAGCAAGCTGCTTGCTTGCTGCTGTCAATTTCAACGCGCTGTCACGCCAACTGTACACTGAGCGCCTCGCGTGAACTGAGAGACGTTAGTCGACCAATGGTCCAGTGTATTCATATATTTCGTCCAGTGTCCGCACCGGTAGTCTAGTGACGTTCGTCACTGGTGACCCCTCCGCTGTATTGCCAGCGCAGATGGCAAAATCACAAATGATCACAAGTGTCCTCACCGCGGTCAGAACATAGCACGTTTGAACTGATAACCATTAAAGGGAATGTTTCACATTTAAAGACATTTAAGCAGGCATCAGATATGATGAAACAAACTCACTTATAACTCTAGTAAATATGCTTCTCAATGCTTCATGATTTGATAACGTCACGGTACCTTGCACAACATTGATTGAGGGCCATTTGACGGCTGATATGTCTCGATGTCGCGCTCACAAACGCCAGCTATGAGTGCTTCGACGATTATCTTTTCGTGGCCTTGATCGCCACATGGCCCAAAAGTGACATAATTTGAATTGCGTTATTATGACATCAGGAATGCCAAGTTGACTGAAATGCTCTCCCTGATATACCTTTCCCCATTTTCGCGGACGTATAGCTCAGAAAGTAGAGGGGCTTAGGTCTTGAGAGCAGGATTGTGGAGAGCACCGAAAGATCTTCGAGCTGGCTATTTCAGTTTAAAGCTGTATATAAATGTGGAGCAGCCCCTTTAGGGAACGCGCAAGCTCCTTATGTTCATGGAAGCATGTAAATGGTCTTTCATGGTCTTGAAAAATGATCTTGCTTTAACTGTTTCTCACGTCGGTGCATTTAAAAAAGAGAAGACCTTCCTCCCAGTTGTGTCCGATACATCCAGTTATGACCGACTGCCAGTGTAGCAGTGACATGGCTGAGGTTCCATCTACCAATTATTCCTTGTTGAGACAGTGACCACCACTGCGTGACCCGGAAGGTACGAGTCGACAAAGCTGTAATACATTTTAGATTGACAGACATATTTGAAAGCTATCAGACATGTTGATAAGCCCTAAAGCCACTGGTTCCTTCGCTCCCATGTGTGATGACTTAAAACGTCACCCAACCGCATCGACAAAGACTACCTGCAGCTTTATGTTCCCTTCGGCATCACCTCGGTAGTGTGTCCGGTGATCCAGCAGCGCGTGTTCCATAGTTGTCATAGCAACAGGGTGCCTGGGACCATGCGTGGCCCTCAAGCTGCAGCGGCGGTCGTACCGCCGCAGCCGTTTGCGCTGGGACCGTTAGGTTCGGCGGCGGCGGGGGTCAGCGTCCCGTCGAGCCGCGGTCGAGCGTCGATGACGTCCCGCCGAGCTGGGGTCGAGCGTCGATGACTCCCCGCCTAGCTGGGGTCGAGCGTCGATGACGTCCCGCCAAGCTACGGTCGAGCGTCGATGACGCCCCGCCGAGCTACGGTCGAGAGTCGATGACGCCCCGCCAAGCTGGGGCTGAGCGTCGATGACGTCCCGCCGAGCTGGGGCTGAGCGTCGATGACGTCCCGCCGAGCTGGGGCTGAGCGTCGATGACGTCCCGCCAAGCTGGGGCTGAGCGCCGATGACGCCCCGCCGAGCTGGGACTGAGCGGTGATGACGCCTCGCCGAGCTGCGGCCGGGCGTCAATGACGCCCCGCCGAGCTGGGGCGAAGCGCCGATGACGCCCCGCCGAGCTGGGGCGAAGCGCCGATGACGCCCCGCCAAGCTGGGGCGAAGCGCCGATGACGCCCCGCCGAGCTGCGGTCGAGCGCCGATGACGCCCTGCCCCCTCGGCCCCCAGGTGGAGTACGCCATCGAGGCCATCAAGCTGGGCTCGACGGCCATCGGCATCCAGACGTCCGAGGGCGTGGTGCTGGCCGTCGAGAAGCGCGTCACCTCGCCGCTCATGGAGCCCACCACCCTCGAGAAGATCGTCGAGATCGACAAGCACATAGGTGAGCGTCGGCGGACGGGAGGCCGGCCTGGCGCACGGCTGGGGTGATGCGAGGCCGCCTGGGGTGCTGTTGGCCACCCTGGCTCGGGCGCAGTGCTGCTAGCCTCGTAGTGCAGTTTGTAGCGACGTTGTGGTCTGAAATCTACGGCGCTGTCGGTACACGTGGGGCGGGGTCCGTTCGGTTCACGCTGGCTTCGTTTTGTGGCTGTGAAGGCCTGCCGAGTGATGTCAGTACACCATTGGCGGTTGTGCCAATGGGTTTCGTTGCGATCGACGAAGTACACAACTAGCGTCGGGATGTTGGCCAGAACTCATAGTTGGTGTGCTGACGCGTCCTTCTAGGCCGAGGTGTTTTGACGTCATGGTTTGCGGTGTTTCATGTGTGGCGTATCTCGGTGCAGCCACAGTAAGCCATAACCCCGCATACGCGCGATTGTGGGGCCTGCTCCGTGAGATTAGACGTGTCACCGAGGTCAGCCCAGCCCTGCACTGGGGTTACGTCCCCAGAGGATTAAGGCGCCGGTCTCAGTCACCGAGGTCTGCCCAGTGCTACGCTTCATCAGGCTAAAACCTCACTTTGATTAACTTGGCTGTGGCTCACTGGTTTCGAGATCGTGAGCATGAACGATGCGTTAGAGAAAGAGCGAGCGGTTAACGCTCAAATGAGAATAGCTGATCACGCTTGCTTCCGAGCGGAGCCAGAATGGGCTCCGGTTCAGATTCCTATTTTGTTGATCCGTGTATTTTGATGCCGGAGTTAATGAAACTTTCGTAGCAAAATTGCATTCGATATGTATGGATTTGTTCCGAGTCAGAGTCGGTAATCATTAACCCTATTGTTGTTGGGTCGACTTTAGTGCGAATTAGGTGGAAGCGCAAAGAAATTATCTGGCAACGGGTGTCCACCAAGTGGAAATCAGACATGCATCGCAATTATCCTAAGCGTAGCTTGACACGCCCCGATAACGGTTGGATACTTTTCGCTCGGGTGGTGGGGGGGGGGGGGGGGGGGGGGGGGGAGAGGGGGTCAATACGACCACCCCTCAGATTTCAGGAACTAAAAGGACTAGAGGCACCAAATTCGCAGGGTGTGTTGGCCTGTACGTGGACTCACTTAGGTCAAAGTTTGAGGCTGCTAGGTCATGACCTTCGGGTCAAATAAGGTAAAACAAGGTTAAACTCCAGGTTGGGCTCCAAAGTGCCCCCAGAACCTGGATACCTGTTCTGAGCAAGAGGTCACATGCTCATTCAAGGTCAGTTGCCTTGTTTCACCTTTGGAAGGTCATGGTAACCAAAATCATATAAGACTGCTTTGAGTTTTGCATTTGAATAAGCGACAAGGATTGCGCTAGGTAGTATGTTCCTAAAAACAAAATATTAACCTGGGCCATTTTAGGTCAATGACCTATTCTGGCCCGTAAGAAGTCCACGGAAGGTGTCTGATGCGGTTCCTGTTATCAATAAATTGAGCACCAGAAACTACCCCACAAAGCCCTAGAGCAACGCAACAAGTTGGTTTTGACCTTGGTCTGACCTTCATGTCTGACCCTAGGTCAATGGACTTTGGTCGTTCAATTGTTGTGTTGCTTAAGAAAGTATCTGAGAGATGTATGGCTTCGTCTAACACTCCGTTTCTCCATCAGATTGAACGATTCCGTAGAGACTGACTTTTCTGAATCCATGATCTGACTGTGACTGTGACTGTAATGTCAGCGACCTTATGAAGTATATGCAATTTTTTGATACCACACGATCCGCTATTCCATTGTCTACAGCTAAGTATAATTTGGCGCGGCTACGTGATGCCGTTCGGAAACTCACTCCGGAGAAACCCTCGGGGAGTCAATGTAACCCCCGCCCGAGCGCGTGTTCAGTTTATTGCAGTTCGGTCTTATCAAATCAACTGCCCTATCTTGCTTTTTATGAAGCCGATCGAACGAGTCGTGTCCCAAACTGTCTTCAGGGGGATCGGGTCGAAAGCCTTAGTAGTGCTAGCTTGAAGAGAATGTTCCACATCGGAAGATATTGAGGCAAACATCGTATATGATGTGAAAGCTCGTTTGTAATCCAGGTGTGGTTTTAAGTGCAACAGGCGCAAATGACACATTTTCACCATTTAGTTATACGCCCCTCAATGCATCATTGTTTCACTACATCATAGAACATTTTTATTACGTCAGAGTTGCTGCCATCGCGGGCGTGTCAGAATTAACGCTGTCGCAGACGGGTTAACTTGTAGTGCCTCAGCACACCGCTAAGTGGCTTGTTAATTTGTACGCACGTGTTTAATCCGACTTTCATTATGTGCGCGTGTTTTAGCCCTTTGTCGTGGTGTTCTCGTATATTTGACGACGATTTTATATGTTTTACTTGCATTCGCATTCTTGATCGCGGCGTTTTTCTTAAGATATTCGATTTGCATTCTCATGACAGTCATAACTAGAATTACCACCCGATTGCCGGTATTATGTATCACAAATGGAGGTTCGTGATCGAAACCCGACTCGTTAAGCTGGTCGAACGCCAACTGACGTCCGTTGATGCGGCGATTTGTGCTGACATGCTTTAGACAGGAAAACGTCAGTCCTCACACTTTGCATCGCCTTGAACACAGTATGGTCATTGAGCGGGCGGAATTCTTCTGACGTCTCTACGACGTCATACATCTTTTAAGTGATTTCAAAGCTGGCCGTGAAAAAGTCAGCACAAGTTCGTGTGCATCTAGCTCAAAAATGGGGGGATTGAAACACTTAAAAGGGCAAAACTTTGAACTGCATGGAATTGCCGTTGAAAATGGTTTTCTTAGGTCGGACCCCATGCAAATATAGAGCAATCCCTTTAATGTCAACCGAATAGTCGTGATCAATTTCATGTGCCGTGCGCAGGGGTCGGATTGAGTGCGGCGAGCTAGGAATAATCACAAGCCGACCAAATGGCCAGCATTCCCTAAAGCACATCTCTGCTTTTTGTGGAATAATTAAACAGACATCTTGCGATGTTTGTTTTCGTAGGTTTGCCATCGGTGTCCCCAGCGCGACGGTATTACCACGACGTGCGTCGCTGTGACGTGCCCGCGGGGACGGCGGCCGGCCGTCTCACGTCTCACCTGGCGGGCGCGCCGGTCATTATTTCCCTGCGGACCGGCCGGAGCGCTGCACCCTGGCCCCGCCCCGCCCCACCAACTGCTCAGACCTGGCGCTGCTGCGCACGGACAGAGCCAGCACTACGCGAACGCGGGCCGAAGCCGCTGCCGGCGTGGCGTCGCCAATGCAGCGTGGTGTTTGGCCGTGATTGCCCGCGGACGCAGCCCTAACAGGCTGACCGCCGGCTGACAGAGCGGCCGGGGTGCAGAGGCCTGCTGCGGACGGGCGGACGGAGGCGGGATGGGGCGGCTCGCTCGCCGTCCCTCCCTCTTGTCAGCCCAGCACCGGTCGGCGACGTGGCCGGGCCGCGTGGCGCGCCGCACGACCGCGGCACGGCAGTGGTGGCACGGCAGCCGCGTATGACCGAAGGCGCGGCCGGTGACCGGAGCCGTCGGCACGCGTGTCACGGGCCGACGGCGGCCGAAACTCGCTGGCGGTCGGCTGGGGGAAGCCCGTTCCGCGCCACTGACGCCAGTCCACCGCAACCGGGCGCTTTGAAAATAAGGTCCGAAATTCGTCAACGGGAGCAGACGAAGACTCGGCGCTGACCGCACGGTGTAGGTGCTCTTTACTATCCTGCCTGTCGCGATGCTAGAGGTCGTGCAGGCAGCAGGCAGTGGCGCCTCTCTGAAGATCGGTTTCGCATGCAGCTGACTGGTGCACGAGGCGAGGCGGATGGAACCACGTTCGCCGCACAAACGCGTTACCCGGTCCTCCGTCAGCAGTATCCTCCCAAGCGGTTTGTTTTCGTGAGTGCGTTGGTCGCGATCGAAGAAAAGGCGAACCGATCATGATTCGCCGGATGGACGTCATGGGCCCGACGAGGTCGGCGAGCCCTAAAGCCCCAATCATCATCGCCGGTGGCGTCGACCGAAACTGCGGAGCCGGGCAACACCCATCGATGTCCAGTTTCGGTGTGGACAAGGCATTTATTAACAATTGGGACGACTGGATGTGATTGTGACACATTTGATTGCGCACGTTGACAACGTCGCTCGGATCTCCTTAGCTTTTAATTGTGTGAATATTGAGCTCGTGTAACGTACTTGTCTGCTTGCCGTTCCGAGGGATGAACATTCTAGTGCAACGATGCGACTTATTTGTTAGAGTTTCAAAGCTGTTTGACCTGACTGGCAGTTGTTTCGGCGTCATTTGTGTCATCACCTCGCTCGCTCGACGCTTAGCTGTACATAAAGAACATTATCCCCACTGAAGTCATTCTCGACGGGGCAAGGAATATGCTTCGACGAAGCATGCTCGGCAGCCACGTCAAAGGTCATGTGCCAATTGGAGTGGGCTGTCAATGACCGGGCTGGCTTCTGAGAATGGCGAACGGGTGCACGGGACCCGAGACGCATTCCACGCGTTTCGTGGCGGGAGCCCGCTTCTCATGCCACTTCTCATGAGGTGGTGGGCAGTTTGGAAGCCGTGCTGTTTGTACGTGCTTTGACTGAGCGACGTGGGTGCCACCAGCTGCAATGGTTAAAGATGATCCCGGCCTCCTCTTTGCTCTGCGAATGGGGCTGAGGGTTCAGAAACTCTAAGTTTAGAGGAAATGTTTCACATTTGAAGACATTGAAGCAAACATCGGTTATGAGGAAACAGGCTCATTTATAGCTATTGATATGCTCTCAAGTGGAAAAGTCTGCTCTAGACAGCAGAATTTACTGTTTAGTTTACGTGCTCCTCGACGCTTCTTGGTGTGATCACGTCATCGTACCTTGCACAGCACTGATTGAGGGTCAATTGGCAGCGATTATATCTGGAAATTGCGCCCACAAACGCCACATGTGAACGCCTCGACAATTATGCCTTTATTGGCCGTGAACACCGCATGGCTTATAGAATTGCAGGATTCGGATGGCGTTATTATCACATTATGAATGCCAAGGCGACCTTGAAATACTCTCCCTGGAATACCCTGCCGAGTTTGGCGGGCCTGTCGCTCAGAAACTAGAGGGGTTCAGGTCTTAAAAAGGGCATGATTGCGAATGGTGCTGAAAGTTCTCTAAGATGGCTTTTTCAGTTCAATACCACATAAAGATGTGGGACGCTCCCTTTAAGGAAGTTTATCTTTTTAAGTTAAAACTTTATCGTACACTCATGTTGCTCTAGCGGGGCTGTCACATTCATGATGTAAATATAGTGCTTTTGAGTTACATCTCAAGAGCTCGAATTCGGTATTTGGTGTAGAGGCTTCCTGGTAATTTTGATAGTAGACCTCGTGCGCATCATTTAAACGATACCCTACGAACATGATTTACCCTGGTTTCCATTCTGCGCACGCTGGCCAACGCATTGATGGGACTGACCATACTTGAAGTGAGGCAGTGCTGTGTCCATTGTTCACCAGCTCTTTAGACTTGAACCGTAGTCGAAACTATTTGCTCTTTTTCTGCATGCGGTATCCCAGGTGCGTTCTTTAGCGTCATGCGCCTATCTAGTTCTAGCTCCACAAATACGTGACAGAAAATTGCCATGGTAATTTCCCATTTTAAAACGGCTTGGAGGGATATGAGCGTACCACATTCTTTCAACTCTGGCCTATGGCATAGTTACTGCCGTCAGTACGATACCCCCCTGCCCATTCACCATGACAGTTTGCCGCTCAGTGGGTCCACCGACCACGTTCTGTACGCCGCATGCACTGCGTGGACAATGTGCGAAATGTGCAGGCACTTGTGGGTCCCTTGATGTGTGGACGTGCCGACCTTTGCGATTCCACGTGACTGATTCTGGCCGTTTCGTCTGTGTCCGTCTGTAGAATGTATTGTGACGTGCGCTGACCCTGGAGTGTTAGAGTGTCCATCCGTGAGCCCCTTTATCCATTTTGACACCGTGCTTCTCCCCGGAAAAATGTGCCGTTTCCGTTACGTGCGACCCACAGTGACCCTGTGACCTGTGTCCATGATGAATATTGGGTCTCTAGGGCGCGCTGAATACTAAGGTCATTTGCGCCTATATGACCTGTAGTGAGCCCTGACCCCTGTGAACTCCACTGACCCCGTGTGGCTTGTGCCCTGTGCTGACCCCATATGTCCCGGTGAGCTGCAGTGACCGGTTGCGGCTGGCCGGCAGGCTGTGTCGTGTCGGGCCGGCTGACCCCATATGCCCCGGTGACCTGTAGTGACCTGGTGCGTCTGACCGGCAGGCTGCGCCGTGTCTGGCCTGATCGCCGACTCACGCACAATGATCGACCGGGCGCGCGTGGAGGCGCAGAACCACTGGTTCATGTACAACGAGCGCATGAAGGTGGAGTCGGTGGCACTGGCCGTCTCCAACCTGGCCATCCAGTTCGGCGACGCTGATGCAGAGACGGCCATGGTCAGTACATGGCGGGGCCGCCATCTGGGGCTGTGGGACGCAGAGACAGCCACGGTCAATACACGGTGGGCCGCCATCTGGGGCTGTGGGACGCGGAGACGGCCACGGTCAATACACGGCGGGCCGCCATCTGGGGCTGTGGGACGCGGAGACGGCCATGGTCAGTACACGGCGGGGCCGTCATCTGGGGCTGTGGGACGCGGAGACAGCCACGGTCAATACACGGTGGGCCGTCATCTGGGGCTGTGGGACGCGGAGACAGCCACGGTCAATACACGGTGGGCCGTCATCTGGGGCTGTGGGACGCGGAGACAGCCACGGTCAATACACGGTGGGCCGCCATCTGGGGCTGTGGGACGCGGAGACGGCCACGGTCAGTTCACGGTGGGCTGCCATCTGGGGCTGCCGGCCCACCGAGCTCGTCAGCGCCGGCTCCTGCTCTGAGTGGTTGTCGAACTGAGATGCATCGTTCCTGCCTGCCGGCATGGTTTCTTGCGAATGAAATGTTTCTGGAAGCTGCGGAGATGTACCGCAGCTGCAGCGAACCACAGAAAAACATGAGCCGTAGGTTAGGGTCTCGCGTGCGTAAAAAGTTTGTAGAATTGAACGCAGGTTTGTCGTCTAGCATTGATGCAAAGTTTATGGCAGATTGGCGGAATCAATTACCTATCCTTGCAGTACACTTTGGGCATTTCTTAGGTCAAGCGATTATTGAGCTCAGTTCACAGTTGCTTCATCAGTCCGACTGCGCCTATTTGACACTAAATCATTGGAGACAAAAGGCAAAGCAGGTCTCAAACTTAAGTTTTGTCTGGAGCGAGGTGACTATTTTAGCTCCAAAAAGCAGTTTTCTACCTTACCGGAAGGAAAACAACGGGACACCATTTGCCTTTATTACGTATTTTTGTTGTTTTGTTAAGCGGACGGCACCGTGTCAGCATGTGACCGAGCACTGTCCTAATGCTGGTGGCAGCATTGTGCACTGCCCTCACGTAGGGTCCCTGTTAGAGCCAACAGTTTCCAGACCTGTTGCAACGTTAAGGGAAAACAGATAGCAAGCAGTGCAGTTTTAGTATTATAATGATGTGCGGTATTTTGTTCAGGTCTGTTATTTTTTTTTGGGGGGGGGACCCAATCCCTTTTACCAGCTGTGGGTTCTAGGGCGAATAGGCCGCGTAGTTTTTGTAAAATTCGTGCAATGAGCAGTTAAAGAGGCGCCAGCGGCGGTGTCCGCCTGTCAGGTCCGCTCGATACGAACGGACCGCACGGCCGTCCTCCGTTTCATGTCTGACCGGCCGATGGTCTGCTGGCTGGGCCGCCTCCGTGGTGTTTCTTCGCAGGTCATGGTGGCCGGATAATGGTGTTTCTTCGCAGGTCATGGTGGCCGGATAATGTGTCATCGCATTGACGACGTTTTAACGGACAACCAGAGCCCCTGCTCGTGGCAGCTCTGCTTGACATGACCTGAGCGTCCTCGGTCCGCGCCTCCCCACGTGACCGGGCCTGACCTCGCGCCGCCAGTCGCGTCCATTCGGCGTGGCGATGCTGTTCGGCGGCATCGACGAGAACGGCGCCCAGCTGTACCACATGGACCCGTCCGGCACGTTCGTGCGCTACAGCGCCAAGGCCATCGGCTCCGGCAGCGAGGGAGCGCAGCAGAGTCTCGAGGAGACCTACCACAAGGTGAGCGGCCGCCCAGCGAGCCCCATAGCAGAGTCTCGAGGAGACCAACCACGAGGTGAGCGGCCGCCCAGCGAGGCCTGCAACCTGTGGAGAGCGTGGTGATGGCGCCACGTTGTCGGGCTTCGTCCTCCCGCTCGTGGCGTGCGTGAAGTTGGCGCGCCGCTGCACCTGAGCTTCACGCTGGGTTCGGCTATGCTGCAGTCCTTCACGGTCCGCCCCTGAGCCGGCCATTGGCGGGGCGGCTCCGGCGGCTCCGGCGGCTCCGGCGGCTCCGGCCGGAGACCGCGGACCGGCGCTATTCGAGGGCGCCCGCCGGCCGGAGGCAATCTGCCAGAGCTGGTTTCGGTGTAGGCCGGGGTGGGTCGTGTCAAGCGGGCGCCGACCGGCCGCCGGTGTCGTCAACGGTGGGGTCGTGGCACCCGGGCGCCGGAGCGGTGGCAGCCGGGCTGGCTCTGCCGCCGGCCAGGCGCCTTGTCCGCTGCACCGAGCTCCACCCGCTGCCAGCTCCGCTCGCCCGGCGTGGACTCTGCGGCGGGCGTGGAGCGGGACGCCAGGCGGTCCGCGGCGCGGCGTCGAGCTGCGTGACGCGCCGAGCCGGACACCGCCTTACTACGGGAAGAGATGAAACGGGCGTCGTAATCCGCTTCTTCCTGGAACGGATAAGTGTGCCGTTTCGCGCGCGGACGTCTTCGTTCATGTGCTGGAGCCGGCGCTCTCTCGCCATGCCGGGAGGGTTGTCGCCGGCTGTAAGATCAAACGGACGCTACCGCGCCCACGTCATCGGCCAACGAGCGCCATCGCCGGCAGTAATTGGCTCACGTCTTTCTCGGCCAAAGTCGCGACGTGATGCCGACGAGTCCAGGGAGGTCCAGCCGTGTGTGGGGGCTGGATGCCACGCCGCTGCTGGGCGGTGCCACCCCGTCGTCCCGCGTGACACGGCGGGACGGCGTGACAGCGGCGTTCAGCGCGCGGCACAAGCCGCCTCCGGTCCCGACGCCGCCAGGGAATCGCCGGCCTCGGGACCGCCGCCGCCGGCCGGGCGTCCATGCCGTCAGGGTCCCCACGATGCCAGCCATCCCCCATGCGACTCGCGGCCGGCATTAGTCGCTCGACGGGCGGCCGCCTGAAAGGGACGGGCACCTGAAAGGGCGGCGCTGTTGACTCCCGACCCACCAGCGTCCTAAATTGGCTGCCGGCGCCGCACGCCACGACAGTGATTGCGTCGCTCGCGCCGCCACCGAACGCTACCCAATGGCGGCCTGGTGTTGGCTGCTCCAACCTGCCGTGTTTAGCGTGTCGCCGCCTTGTTAATGATCACCGCGCGTGGGGTCCTCGCTCGCGGCTATAGCTCACTCGCGCTCTGAGACGCAGGATCCAATCACGCCTGCGTCCTGTTCCTGGTCGACGGCACTGGGAGCGTTCGTGGAAGGCGTCTGTTCAGTCCTGCGCCGTCAACAACTCGTGGTCGATTGTTTGTTTCTGCGGCGGGCCGGCTTATGTCCCGCGAAGCCGCTCGCTTGTGAGAGCTGCACTTTTCCCGATGGAAAGGGCAGTTGTCCCTCAGACTGCGGGCGGCCGTGTCGTCGGTCATCACACGCCTCGCACGGTACCAGCCCGCTTCTGTTTGCGTCGCCTGGCGCGGTCAGGGCGCTCAGCGTCGCATCCGTCACGTCACGGACGTGCGACGCTGTGGTGTTCAGCTGGCGCGGTGGAGCACGGTGGCCGCCGCGTCCATGTCCGGCGCGGGCGCGCGGGGCTGCGGTCCCCCTCACGCCGCCTCTGCAGAGCATGGCTGTGGCCTGGGCTGCGACGCGCCGACCGAGTGCCGCCTCTCGCGACTTGGGGGGCTCGAGGCCGTCATCAAGTGTGATTTGTTGGTGTAGGCCGCTCTCCCCAGCTGAGCCGGCCGGCCCGGCCTTTGATCGTCGGTCGGGGCTCTGGTTATTAAGCCATTCGTCAGACCTGTGCTGGGAGCACCCCTTGCAAGCATGCCGCCACGTGATGCAAGCGGAAAATGTAGCCGATCTTCGCACAGCCTGCCGCTCAGGGGGACGTTGACTGAACAGTTGCAGGGCGTGCGGTGGGATGCTTCCGTTCATATGGTTTTCAGGAGTGTGCGTATGAACGTTTTCATGAGCGTGAAAAGTCGCCAGCGTTAAAAATAGCCCACTGGACGATCGCAACAGGCGGGGTGCGTGTTCAAATGTTGCAGCAGACATGGTTCACCGTATTGAAAGGCCTGTTCGTTCATTGGGTCAAAGTCAGTGGCTCGCTTTGATCGATTCAGCATGTGTGAAATCACCCGTCTTTGTCTGAGCCTCGCACTAACTTTTGCGCCGGCCTGCCAGCGTGCTCGTGTCTCGTTCTTGGTGCTGTCCGTGCCACCGTGTACGTAGTGCCCCCTTCCCTCCAGTGTCCTGTGTCCTGTCTCATAATGTTAACCGGCACCCCCGTGTCTTCCAGTCAATCACGCTAAAGGAGGCGCTCAAGTCTGCACTCACCATTCTCAAACAGGTGATGGAAGAGAAGCTGAACGCCTCCAACGTGGAGCTGGCCACCGTGACGCCCGAAGGCAACTTCCAAATGTACTCCAAAGAGGAGCTGGAGGCGCTCATCGCCAACATCTGATCCGGCCCGCCTCCCCGTCCGTGCGCCGCGTGGGCGGCCGCTGCACCCGGACACGTCCTGTTCCCAGGCCGCTGCTCTTGTCACTGAATACAACGCGACGTCATCAGAGGCGGTTGTGTGCCGGACGGGCCGGCAGAGTCAGCCGGCGGTCAGGCGCCGTGCGGCGCGCGACAGCGGCGCTCCGCTGCACCGGCGAGAAGGCAGACGGCTGGAAGCCGCTGCCACCGCCTGTCGCTCGCTCGGAGATCACCACGTGCTCCCGTGGACTGCTGGGTCGAGACGGACCCTCGAGAAATTCCGCGGACGTCACTTGGCGGTTGCCTTTTCGAGCCATTTGAATTGAATTCAATTGAAGCCATGGAATTTGCTCTCACAAACCCTACACAGGCGCCTGCTAAGTACCAACGTTATGTATCTGCCCACATGCTGGCATGACGCTGGGCCTTGACGCGGTGCGATTCCGGCGAGCGCCGGCCGATGCGGCCTGCCCGTGCCTGGTGCGCGGTGTCCGAACGCAGCTCCTGGCGGCTCGTTAGCGCGCCTCGACCTCCGTCACTCGTCTCCTCACAGCGGCCTGTTCGCCGAAAAATTGATACGGCCGGGATCCCGTGCGGCGACTGACGACATGTCCGGGAGTAGTCGATCGTCATGGCTTTCGCTTCAGCTGTGGCAGAGTCGGTGCTGCAGTCTAGTAATGCGTATTATGGCAAGTTGGATGCTATACGTACAATCCCGTGAAGCACCAATGTGTCAAATTCGCTGAATGCAATTTTGACACGCGCGCGGGCGGCCGGTGAAGTGCGACGCTCATGAGTGGGGTGGGGTCAGTTTGGTCCCCCCCTTGATGTCTTAAGAAGTAAGAGAGCTAGATACCAAATGCACAGGGTAGGTAGGGCTGCATGCGAGCCCACCTGTGACATTTTATTGAGGTCTCTAAGCCATGACCTTCGGGTCAAATAAGCGCAAACAAGGTCAAGCTCCAGATCAGTGTCCCGAAGTGCCTCTAGACCTCCTTATAGCAACTGCCTTCCCCCAAATACCTGCTCCAAGCAACAGATCAATGGTGTTCACCTCAGGCCAGTGGGCTTGTTTGATCTTTAGATGGCTTCGATGATAAATCGCGGAAATTATTTTAATTTTGTCATTGAGGTAAGCATGAAGGATTACGTTCGGAGTAACGCATTTAGAACAAAATGTTGATCGGGATAATTTCAGGTCGGGGACTTCTGACCTACAAGAAGTCCAAGTAAGATATCTATTCGCGTCTTGTCAAGAAAATCAAAGTGAGCATACAAAACTACGTCATAAAAGAAGCTCCCCAGTAAAAAACGGTTCCGTTTTGGCCTTGGTCCGACATTTACAATCACTCGTCAGCGGATTAGTTGTTATCGTAAATAGAATTGGTCAGTTGCCTACGGAACTATCTCAGCTGGGCGCCAAATGACCACCGCAGTCGGCGCGCCCCTGAACTCTAATAAACGTCAACTATCTCAGCAATATATGATTTCGTCTCCGTTGTCGCATCAGATTAAAGGAACCCCCAGGAATTTTCTTCACTGGTAGCCACGACATGACTGACCTGCTACAGCTCAGCGACCTTGCAAGGTGCATCTAGTTTTGTAACGGGAAGAACCGTCATTCAAGTGCCGACAACCACGCAAGTTTGGCGCGCCTCCGCCTCGCGGCCGGGATTATACTGGGCGAAAACTTCGGGGAGCCATTCGCCCCCACCCCCATCCGAGTGCCTGTTTAAAGACACGCATCAATGGAATAGATAAGCGGACGATCATCCTCGTCGGAGGTATTCTGTGTACACAGTTTCGGCCGGTGACTTCTTGGGTCCGCTTGGGGTGCTGACTGGTCTTGAGAGAGAGCAATGTACGCGTGGCACGTGCTCTGACACGTTCGTACAGGAGCCGCGAGGACAGCAGCGGTTGGAGCTCACGTTCTTATTCGCGACCTTGTATTACGATGCGCTGTACACTGCGCTGACGTAAGCCCTGACAGTGTTGTACACAAACTTGCGCCACCCATGAGGGAATTACAGATGGGTACACCAGTTCAGAATGCCAGTTTGGTTATATTATTGCACAAGTTTGCCTACATTGACCTACCGCCCTATATCCTTACAACTTGATTTTATCTATATAGATAACCGATGTGGGGCTCACAGTGACGGATTTGCTCTTGACCGCCGGTATTTCTTTGAACTTGGCACCTCTGAAACTGGCCCTGAAACCTCTGAACCTTTGAAACTGACATCTGGTGAGGCGGGTGCGTAAAACAAGTATTCCCCTGCCGCACACCTGAAAACGGCTGCGAGGTGACGATCAAGGCCGTTCAAGGGCGTTGCTGGGAGCAACGACAACTATGAATTGGTCGCGCTCAGATTTGTGTTAGATTCAAATTCGGAGGTAGAAATACCGACTCAGCGCATGAGACTGCGCTGAATGAATTCGTCGCGCTCAATTCAAATTGGGAAGTAGAAATACCGACTCTCAGCGCATGAGACTGCTACGGACTCTTATTCTGAGCGGCGCAATGCGGCCTTGAATTATTTACGATTTCTACTCGAGATTTAGTTAAATTCTGGAATAGATTCAACTGGAGTTGCTTCCAACGACCACGGAGTTTGCAAGGAGACGTTTTTGAGCACTCATAAACGCCTAAAAACGACATTTATTTTGATATAAATACGGCAAACTGTGTGCCATTTCGTGCATATGTGGTTTGTCAGACTTAGAATGTGCGCTGCTGCGTACACTTCTCTCTGAGTTAACTTCCGCCAAGTTGCTTTGCAACTCCGACTTATTCAGCTTTCGAAGGAGTCGACTCCAGCCTGACTCAACAAAGATCTGGTTTATTTGGGAGTTGATTCCGACCTCACCTCGGGTGAAGCCCAACTCCGGCTACAGTATCCGAGATTCACTTGCATCTGTAGTTCCGGTCCCCGTGGCCGTCAATCTCCCGTAGTGTCTCGTTCTCTGGGCACTATAGCCTGGCGAATAGGCTCGGATAGGCACGCAGGATTTCCGTAGGGACGGGGTGGTTCCTGGGAGGAGTGACAGAGTGACTTATCGGAATCGGAGATAGTCCATGATCGAACGAGGTCCCGTGTGCATCCCCTGTGTGCTGTTCTGCTGACGGCGAACGGAAGAGCTGAAGCGCTGAAGACGTAACGTTTTGAGACGCAAATGACTGTACACAACTGGATTGGTCGCCTTGTTTGGTGATGTATGCACACAAATTGCAAAAACATTGACTGCGTTCCATTTCCCACTGAGGAAAAACCAATGCTGTGGGGACACACTTCCACCGTCCGCCCCGTAGCTGAATCGGTTAAACCGCCTCCCCACGGCGGGCGGCTGGGTTCGAGTTGCTTCGCCTTTCGCGTATGCCCCAGAGTGAGATGACCTACCGCCGGCGGCAGCGGCCGCTCAAGGTCAGATGAGGTTGACGGGCGCGTCAGACCGTGCCGAACATTGAAGCAGCTGGCACTTCGAGAAGCGAGCATCAGTTACAAATGACAGATGTGTGGCAAGCATTGTGGCGCTTTCGCCACACAATGTCGCTGTTGGACTAAACGATCGGATGACGGTAAATGAACGGATGACGGTTCACACAGCAAACACTGCTTACCATGAACTCTGGTCCCTGAAGTGCATCCAATCAAATTGTTCGGACCATTTTATTTTAAATCACCATATCTTAACGTCACAATGACATCCTTGACGCGCTGACGCCCATGATAATTACTTAGGTCGCCTTCTTGCGAGTACCGCCGCTATGACAAGGCAAGAGTACCGCCGATATGACAAGATACCGCCGATATGACAAGATACCGCCGATATGGCAAGATACCGCCGCTATGACTAGAACAAGATTGCCGTACCGCCCGCCGCCTCGCTGTCAGCGCCTGGATGAAAATAACATGAAACGTCAGAAATGAGATCACCATCCAGAAAAAAATCAAAGGGCAACGTGCCACATTTCATTATTTAATGGGACCGCAAGGAGCCGAATTGCCCTGCACGCACCATATGTATTTAACAAGTTCCACATCTTATCGGTCATGCCATAATGCAGGCTATGGGCGTGTCGATTTCTGAAAATAGTTGGGGAGGAGGGGTGGGGCTTAAGTCGTGGAAATCACCACAGGGGAACAGATTCGCTCACGCCAACCTGCTTGTCCTCCGCTTTCACTCACGTCAACTTGCTTGTCTTCTGCTTTCACTCGCATCAACCTGCTTGTCTTCTGCTTTCACTCGCGTCAACCTGCTTGTCGTCCCGCACGTGGGAACAGTCGTTGCACCAGGCTGTACTGACCGGTCGGTCGTCGGGAAGGTTCGCGAGTGTCCGTGTCGTTCTGTAGCGTACCGCGGACATGTCGGAGCTTGTCGCGCAGGAGTTGGTTGGGTGGGGAGGGATGGAGAGGTCAAAACCGGCGCAGGGTCGAGCAAAGAATGTGAAAGAGATGCTACTAAGAAGGAAGGAAATGGAGCATATGCCACTGCCTGACATGGTTACAGCCTTCGTAACTTCCGAACCACTTCTTGACACTGAATCCGAAACATAAGGCGACGGCATGCCCATTTAATTGCACAAGGCAGATATTCCGGAAGACTTACTTTATAGCGCGCGTGCTAGACATTCAGCCGTCAGGTTGGCTTTAGAAGCGTCGTGCTATCTGTATATTTTCTTCTCGATTTCGTTCGGCCGTCCCAGCGATAACTTTGACGTGTAGCAACGACGAGTGTCAACGTTGAGGCATAGACGATGCTACTGATTAACCTCCCGTCCGACAAAGGATATATCACGGCGGATCGCCATAACTCTGCAGCATGGTGAGTTGATGTGGAAAGTACGACACACAACGCACAAGTAAGGCCGTGCGCCTACGCTGGCCCGTAAATGTGCTGTCGTTTTGAGTTTATAGGGCAGCGGTTGGTCGTGTCTGGAAACGTGCGACCGGTGCAGATCTGTAGACATAGTAATTGTACCACATGACGGCAGGGTGTGCTCATTCATACAAGAAAACCTGTGATCGGAGCAGTAATTGTGTTAGAAGATAGAAGGGTGTGCTCATTTATGCAAGAAAATCTGTGATAATGTGAACTCGACGCAAAGGCCTGGACCTACGTTGTGTACAGTTTAAGCATACGTGTGCACTGTGCAAAAAGCGATGGAGAGCCTTCCCACGGGAACGAGTTTAATTGGATTCTTGGTAAATACATAAAATTGAATGAACCCTTTAAAACCTTTGAAAGTGAGTCAAATAGCTCCAAGGCGGTAATCGTGCCATGTAATCACGGGTCACACTGGCAGCTGCTTGGGTATTCGATGACATATA